TCTCTCTCTCTCTCTCTCTCTCTCTCTCTCTCTCTCTCTCTCTTCCCACATATGGAGCCACGACTTTGGTGGTCAGCAGGCACGAAAAGAGAGATAGATACGGTGCACCACTTGTATGCACATGTATCGGGCATCATACCGCCTACGATAGGGTCCCACCAGGACTGACTCTACCCGTTGCTGTGCGGCCGAAGCTCCAAACAATAGTATAGTCAGTCACGGAAGTGACGAGTCGTATCGCCTGGCGGTCCTGTGTACTAGATGCCTGGAGGTGCGCAGTCTTGGAGGCTGTACTCCGTACTGAGTACTCCGTACCGCTCGCGCAAATTGCGAACAGGATATCGCTCGACTTGGCAGCCGCCTGGCGCAGACGCGTGCTACAGTAGGTAGGTACAATTAACTCCAGATGATGATATCTACGTCGTATGATTGCGATTGTGATTTCAATGCATGGAAGATCGGCGGGCACAGTAGGTACTCGTGGTGGTCGTAGTTGAAGGTAAAGCGGCCACTCTCGGCACAAGCATAAGGCAAGTACCTAGTACTGTATCTCGTACGAGGTACTCCGTACCTACCTCGTACTCGTACCGAAGCAAGAGTGGAGTACCACGCGTAACTCATAATTTTTGAGGTATATGTTTTTGCAGCCCCAAAAACTGCTCACCAATGAACCCTCCACGATGGTGTAACGGTAACATAGCTGGCTTTCATTAGGAAGTCCTGAGTGTGCAATATCACCCAGCAGCCCCGGGTTCAACTCCCGGTCGTGGAATTCCTTTTTTTTGCTATTGTATTTTCCTCTGGTTCTTTTTTTGCTCATTTGCGGAACATACACAGTACAGTGCCTGGTGGACTTGTCATGCTACAGTATCTAAGGTTCAAATTTCTGGTGCGGTGTTGCGAAACCTCGGTCCTTGGCTGTCCGTATTCATTGCTCGTCTACGGAGTACTGGATTTGGATTTCATTGCTGAAGAACACCCAGTTTCCCTTGCTAAGGCGATAGAACTCCGTATGTCCCCGCGCATACACATTACTATGCTGGATATTGTTCGTTCGACTAGTCTGCCTGTTATCGTCCAGACGTCCGCCCCATCCAAGACAGCGAAGGTACGTCTCGAGATGGGATTGCCACACAATGTGTGAGTATTTACATTTACCTGCCCAGAGGAGTAGACTTACTTTCTTGCGGCATGACGAGGCGAGAGCGAAGCTATGGAGGGTATGGAGTACTGTAGCCACCCGTTCGCTTTACGGGCGTCACAAGGAGCAAGCACCGCTACACCATGCTGCATACTCACGAGCTTGCCACTGAAGGGTATTCTATTTGCAACCTGCGCCGCGGATCGTGATATGGTATAATATGTAATGAAATGGTGCTGAAGTCTTCGCCTGGCTTCTCCCGGCATAATACCCCTTCTGGTCCCAACGAATTGGCGAAAACGACTGCTTGTTGAATTAAGCTCCAACCAAACTGAGCTGGGTGTTCTGACTGCGAAAGAGGCATTCGGCGTTCAGCCCAGCCATTCCAGCCCAGCCAGGCCAACCCAGCCAGGAGCACTCCACCACCCATCGGAATTTCCGGCTTCGGTTCTCGCCGTTTCGTCGTCCCGTCGCCAGCGTCGAGGAGAACTCGGTGTCACCCGATATCTTCCCCAGAGCCGTGCATCAATGACCACAGCTGGTGCGTTCAACACATCATTCTGTGCCGTCGACAGCCTGTCTGTCAAGCAAGTGTGGGTTGTGGGCCACGTACAAGCTAGACACAATAAGTCACATAGCATGACACCATCAAGGCGTTGCCTGACTAATCCATATCGTCTTCCCAGCCTTCCTCTTCGACATCATCCATGGATACATCGGTTATGCTGCTCTCGCGCAATGAAGGATTTGAAATCAAGCCGGTGACGGGGCCAGAACTCCAGTCCATATGCTCAGACCATCTCCCTGTAGAGGATGTAAGTCCTGAGACGTGAGAAAGCGCACCGTGACTTTGGCGCCTTTTGGAAAGCCCCTTGAACGACCTGAATGCAGAGCTCATTGACGACGTGTATGAGCGGGCTATAGGAGGACCGAGGAGGGAGTTTGAGATCCAGACCTGCTCCTCCGGCTGGACTGGAGCTTCAGGCCAAGTTGTGACCTGTTCGTCGCTGTAAGGAATTCGCCTAGCGAGCATGTTGGACGTGAGGACCGACCATTCCGGTATTCCATCGTCTTGAGATACTAAAATACCTGCCCTGGCAGCAGCAGCACGAACGAGACGGTCGCTTGGTGTTATACTCAATGACGAGTCGATTTTCGGGCGAGAGTGCAGTTGTTCCATGTAGACGTCAATGAAACCTGGGGGCTTGGTCTTCCCAAATCTCCGGGAGAACCCATGCGAGGACCTGAGTTCTTTGACTGCATATTGGAACTTGTCAGAAAGAGAATTCGGAGCGGCAAACATGGGACCCATCATCTGTTTCCGAACCCATATCAACAGCGCAAAAGGCAGTACCCCCATAGCTTGACCCGAAACTGCGTCAAGTAATTCCGAATAGCTCACGAGATCGAGCCTTGTGTTTGAGCAAGTAAGAAAGTCAGACCACGGGACCGGACACGGTCCATAGTAATTTCTCTGCTGGCGTTCAGAGTTCAAGCATGCTAGAGACTGAGCGAGACCAGCAAATGAGCTTTCGTCAGGTGGCCAGGGCTTTTCGACGAGATCATCGATCACGAACTTCAAACGACGGGGATCCTCCATTTCCGTCAGAGCTTCAATGATTAGTCGCCAAACGTCAGGCGAAGCGAACAAGGAGTTTAAGATTGGTCTTGGCCAGTCGCGAAGGTCTTTGGTCAAGAGATCGTTCGGACTGAGCCTCACACGATCCACAAAATCCTCGTCGTCTATTTGGCCTGCTGATAAGGCATTGGTCGAGTAGTGAGTAGTGGACCAGTAACAGGGCTGTGCCCAACTGAAAGCTTGACGAGCAGAGTCTCTGCCAGGTGGAGGAGGCTCGGTATTTCAGTAGTCAAGCTGGTAAACGGCGATAGATCACGATCAAGATCCAAGCACCTGTCTCTTCGCCAGCTGCAGAGTTGCTCAAGAAGAGAATTTGCTATCAGCACTTGCTCATCAGTCCAAGCAGACCGTGCGCAAATGGTTGCCACAAACATCAGCTGTGGACCCAACAGCTGGTCTGACTGTACAGCACTGTTGATGCGAGAAAGTGATCAGGTACCATAGCTCAAACACCTCGCCAAAACACTTCAAGTCGGTAAGAAATAAGGCGGTACGTGCCATGTCCGGAAGAATTTCTAAACTTCATTGGCTCGCAGCACTCCGGTACCGCCCAGTTGGGTTTGACCATGCAGAATCCCATACCCTTTGTACAATTTTCGACGGTTCGTACACGGGCAAACGAAGTCGAGGGTAAGTGAGGTCGGGTTCCAGTCTGATTGCCGCAGTACATGGCGTTTCTCCGTTCAAGGCCGGGATCGGAAATGAGTGCTTGGATGTCAACGAAGATTCTTGAGGCGTCGGCTGCAAGATCCCTTCAGAAGACGCTGACGGGCCTGGCGGAGGATTTACTGCATAATGCGTGGACTCATTCTTTGCTATGAGTTCCCACTTCCTCATCTGAGTTTCAAGCTGGCCTCGCGTAACATGGACGTCGAAGTGGGCTCGGAGGTGCCGCAGGATATCTGCCGTGCTGACAGCTCGATGGAATAATTCTGAAACATCAGGTTTAAGAATGTCCCACTGTTCCTTGGACAACCGTCGACTGTAACGAGGATTATTGGGGTCTTGTTGAATGAAAGGGTCTGCCCGCTGGGCGACTCGGACGGATTGCATACTGAGTCTGCAGTATTAAGAGAACTTAGATGGCGATCCAAGAGCCCACGCAGCAGGACCCATGGGAGGTTGTTCCTAACGAACGAGGAAAATTCGATGAACGGGAAGAAGGTGGTTTGCGAGGCTGAAGGCACAACGAAGCTTGAACGCCTCTGCGGAGGTGGCGTTTTGCAGGATTTCCAGATCCGGTCGCTCTGCTCCAGCCTGATTCGACACACATGAAACCATCTTGGCGTCCGCTCCGGTTGGGGACCCTATGGAAGGGCACGCCTGTTCGTGATGGCAGTCCAATAAAGGTTTGTTCTGATGTGGAGTTTTCTGGCTCGAGTGTTGGGCCATGCCGAAAGGCAGCTCTGCCTATTTGCCACTCGAGCCGGCCCAAAATGCCGTGTTTCACCTAAGGTCTGGAAGACGAAACACGGTCGGTTGGCATAGCAGCACGAGTCCGTGTCCACAGGACGAGGTTCGACACATTTGTCTCTAGAGCTGGTCTCGATGAGTCGACAAGCGAGAAGTTGAGCGACGCTTTGTTCCCCATCGCGGAGACTGCCACCTCCACATTTCCGATCAAGATCATCCCATTCTCTTCCAGGTAGACAATCATCTTTCCAAGGAGTCAACGATTGATCTGCGTAGATAGGTGCAGCCATTAAATTGAGAACGAACTGTGCTTGGAGACAGGTTTGCTGACTGAGCTGACTAAAGAAGATTGGTGGCTATCGTCCAGCAAGCTGTATCTTTCAGCGTCTCGACTGCTAGGCCCTCTGGTCGCGTTAGGAGGGCCTTCTTGTAGAAGTCGTCTTGCACATGGCAATCCATGTGACCAACGTCTGCATGTAGCCATCGCCCAATGAGCCGAGGATGAGTTCGTGGGAAATCTGCACATCCTGCTTGTTTCAAGCTGAGCGTACACACCCGTTTACAGAGGACAGAAGGCAATGTCAGACATGGCCGGTAGAGGAAACATCGATAATGGGTTGACAGACGATATGAAGGAAGGTTTCGCAGGTCCCGCTCGTAGTACCTCATCGCATATAGTAGTTGGCCATCTGATCTAGTCATGCGGCGTCCTTGGTATACGGGTCTGGGGACCGGGCGGAGAGGATCGTACCCGTGGTGAGATTGGGTGGTCTTCGTGTTGCTGAACTTCCGCACTCTCCTTCATCATCAGGCACAGCTTTGTCGAAAGTTTTTGTCGGGTCTTATCTCTCCACAACCCAGGCAAAGACAAGAAATCGGAACCTCTCCTTGCTTTGACAAGTTTCCATTTCTTCAGCTGAGAGTCTGCTTGGCTGCCGGGTGACTTTGAAACCCATTACCTCCAGTTCCTTCAACATATCGACACATTGGACCACGAGGGCTGCGTTCCTCGAAGCCCAAAAGCTCGAGCTGCAGATCCAGCGGCGTCAGACGATCGATATAAGGTAGTGCTTGGGAGATGCGGTGGTGGGGAGTTGTTGCGTTATGCGGAGGAAAGGAAAGTGAAGTGAACCTCAAGTGGGTGTGAGTGTCAAGAGAGCGTGAGAATCGAGACTCGGCTCGCTGGCTAAAGTTTGTGCTGTGAAAGCTTGATCAATCTCGGCCAACACGCTCCGGCCTGCGTCGCCTCAACTTCCGCCTACCTTCATCATCCACAAGCCGCGTGCAGTGGAAAAGTCAAGAGTAGAGAGAAAATAGCCGTGGGTCATGTAACAGATAGATCTGTCGGATTTGGCGTTACATTACAATAAATTACCTGCGACCCCTCATTAATCAATGCCCGTGGAAAGACGACGATACATGACGTGTTACTCCAGCCATGATATCAATGACGGTTCCTCATGTCGACGTCGTCAGAAGAGGATTTGACGACACAAGTATCTCTATGCAGAAAGCAGATCATCTACGGTAGCTCCAACAACCTTCTCTTACACTGACGAGTTCCCCGGGGAATCGTATCGTGGAAATGTCGTCGCAACACAAATACCCACCCGCCATCATGGCGACAGATCAAGCCCCCGAGGAAGAGGCCAACATCAACATCTGCAAGGAATACATGTCTATCGCGTACTCCCCGACGGAGAACAAAGGGGGCAACTCAGTCGCTCACCTCTGCCACGCCGACAGTTGGTTCTGGGCGCCTGCGACATTTCCCGGCTGCGAAACGCCCATGGACTATGCGACATCTCACTCTGTGGTCATGTCTGCCGTGTCCGACCTCCACATCATCCGCTTCGACCAGGTATTCGCGAAGAATGGACACGTCCTGCTTCGATATACCGCTGAAGGGAGCCATGTGGGCAAACCGTACAAGGGCATTGAAGCCACTGGGAAGCATGCGACGTGGAGTGCGGCGGCGATTTTTGAAGTCGAGGAGGGGAAGATCCGAAGCTTTACCAAGGATTGGGATCAGAAGACTATGCAGGTATGTTACTTCGCTGTGACGCGCTCGGGTACTGGTTTCTTTTCCATACTGAGGGAAGTAGATTCAACTTGGATGGGCGCCGGTCAATGAGAGCGACGATCCAAGGTGGAACGCACAGGCTCTTGCGGATCCAGAGGGATCGAGGAAGAAGAAAGAGTGAGAGTAAGGTGAGTGTGAAGGTGGGCGAAGATGGAGCAAAGGGGAAGTGTCCCAGCAGGGAATTCAATGAAGCGTCAAGCAACTTTCACCTTCACCTTGCCTCCTTCTTACCGTGGGAGGCGGCATCGGGAGGGACATTGTGGATGTGTGCTTGCTGTTGCTGCTGTGTCTGGTAATCACTGAACCGGATCGCCAGTGTACGTATTGGATATGTGCCACCGACGTCAATATCTCTCACCCGATCCGAGACAAGAGAGATCAAGGCGGAAGCAGTGTGCAATTTGATGCGCACGACCGAAACTCAAGTGACTGCTCCTCGGGATTGAGGACGACTGTCTCTGCAAAGTAACAGTGCACCTACGGTTGTATCTATATGCAGTTTCATCGTCATTGACTGTCATTATCTATCATACACGAACGCGCCCCAGCACACATGCCACGAGGCGTACAGGGTTGTCGTGGGATTTTGGTGTGTCGAGTAAACATATTCCTCGTCGGGGGTTTGAGCTGCTCACTGCGGTGAATGTACCACGAGCCCGGGGCGCAGAGTCTGGGAAAGATATTGTAAGGAACGTCTGCGCTGATCGGTCCCGTTGGATCCTTCCGAGGCCCAATGGCAAGAATGTGCAAAACCATGGAAAACCGTGCAAACGCGCCTCCCATTTTGCCGTTATTTACCGCTCATATATCCATTTTCTCAGCCCTTTGATCTCGCGTCATTAAGGGTATCTTTTGAAAACATGCGCCCCATGCAACACTTGGCAAGAAATATAGACCGGTCCCAGATCGATCGGGGATCGTGTGGGAAACAACATGTGTCGCTGCAGGCATGTTCAAGGGCGGCTTCTCACCGCATCCAGCAATATCCCATTGTAGGCACGGTCGGTCTCAGCCGGGTGCTGAGAGCATAGAGGTCCAGCGCGCGACCGTCAATAATCCATCCCTGTTAACTTCTTTCGCTTCCTCTGGCCGTACTCATCACCGTCCCCATCTTCTGGATCCGAATATCCCTCGCCATAACCGACAAAGCTGTCATCGCCGTAACTCCGCTTCTTGCCGCGCGTCTGCCGTTTTGCGTCAGCGTTCTGTTGCGGTGCTGGCCGCATCACACCATTTGGCAATTGTCGAGGTATCGACGGTTGACTTTGTGGTTGTGTCGCGGGAGGTGGCCTCGCGTTCGGTTTTTCGAATCCAAGAACGTCCTCCCAATGGGCGTTGTTTCGAACGGTCCCAGGCTGCATCTGCACGGCTTGCTTCAACTTGGCCCTGAAATCCGGCGTCACCTCGATTTTGGACTTCGCGTGCTCGGCATTCCACTGCTCCTCCGGCTGGAGGCCCCACATGGATGATCCTGCCATGCGTCGCAGCGGGCCTGGCTGATCCTCTTCGACATTCCGTTCTCCTTTGACAGGCTTGTTCCGCCCAGACAGGTTGAAGCCCTTAATTTGACCCTCGTATGATTTCCGGAGTTTGTTGATCTTCTCGCCCGTCCTGGGATCCGTGCGAGCGACGCTGTGTAGCAATGGACCAAGACCGTACAACGCGAGCAGATGCTGCTGCGGATCGGGTCTCTGACGCTCGACTTCTGCAATCAACTGGTCAACAAAGCTGCAGAAAAGAGATTGTAAGTGATGGAGGACGGGAGAGTCTTACTGGATCTGCAGAGAAGAAAGGCATCACCCATATCTTCCTGTAGTTGTTCCAGCGTCTTCTCGTCCACCATTAAATGTGCTGCGCTCACACCGTCAGCGACCTTGTCCTCTCCCTCTACTTCCATCACGTCGTTCCGGTCATGGTTGGTGGCGTGTGTGATTGGCTCCACCTCCATCTGATCCGCCTGGTCTTCTCTTCCGGAGTCACGCCTCTGTCGCTTATCGCGATGCTGATCAGCGTCGTCCACCAAATCGAAGCCTGAATTCGTGCCCGCTACGCTGTGCGCCGGAGTCGGAAGCGAATGAGTGGGCCGTGACGGCGGTTGAGACCGCGCAGCAGAGCCCCGTGGTGAGCTGGGGGTGGATCTCGCCGTAGCCTCGTCGGGATTATGTGTATTTCCGTAAGAGGAGACATAGCTCTTTGTAGCGACTGACATAAAAGAAGGAGAAAGGGGGCTTTGTGGAAGGTTGTCAGACAGGCGCCGTCGCTTGAGCGCCGACTCGGACGGAGACGTTGGCGAAGGCGGAATAGTCGTCGGTCGGGATGAGAGGAACATGAAAGTGCGCAAAGAGACCCGTCCGCGGTGGATTGCGCGCCGCCTTTGAAGGGGGAGGGATCAAAATCGAAGGCAATGGCGCTGTGTCTGGCGAGACCGAGGCGGGGCGTCACTCGAGATCGGATGCGTATCAGTAGCGACTTCGGCGACGGGATTGCTGACGGCGGAAACGGAGGTGGGAGGAATGTGCCAGAGGAGGAAGACCAGGAGCGGCTGATTGTCGAGTCCGCAGTGACAGTCGACGTGCTGAAGTGCTGAGTGGAGAGCTGGGCGTCGGGTTGTTTGAAGGAAGAACAAAGACAAGGTCAGGATCGGGAACAGGATCATACACAGACCTGAAGGTGAGAACTGGGGCCCAGGCGGCGGCGGCGGCTTGCCAGCACCACAATGCGCTGGGAGGCGCAAGCGGATTTAGTGCCGGCAGGCCTCCCCGAGCGTCACGTGCTCGCCTTAGTAAAAATGCTCTATTGAAGCTGCGCCAAGACTCGCTACGGAAATACTCTAATGTTTATGCTTGGTGATCGATCTCGACCAACCTCAATGCGCACACACCAGCATCCGAGCATCGGCACCATCTCGATCTCCTTCATGGCACCGGATCCAGACTTTGAGCATCCCAAAATGGATCAAAGGCGCAGTATACCTCCTGGGCTCCCCAGAGACAACCCCATCCAGTCATACTGGCAAGATCCTCCGGATGAGATAGCCGATTGTCGGACAAGCCCAGATCTCCCGGATGGGGCTGACATCGTTATCGTCGGAGCTGGTGTCAGTGGCGCGAGCATCGCGTATAACCTGCTCTCCTCCAACCCTCGTCTGAATATTGTTCTTCTGGAGGCTCGTCAGGCTGCCAGTGGTGCCAGCGGCCGAAATGGTAGGTAAAGTAAAGTTGCGCCGAATGGTATCATCTGATCCCCAAATGCTCTCAATGATCCCTGACTTTGCAGCCTAGGCGGTCACACCAAGACTGCCACCTACCGCTCCTTCCACGAAAACGTCAAGTCCGTCGGCACGTCGGACGCCATCAAGATCACGAACCTGGAGTACAAGACCATGGTCAATGTCCACGCTTTCGCCCGAGAGCATTCTATTCCCTGTGATTCTGTGCGCTGCCAGACTATCGACGTCTTCTACGACTCCGCTCAGTTCCAAGCAGCGAAGGCCTCCGTGGCGTTGATGGAGAAATCCATGGGTGTCGACAAAGCGCCCGAGCACATTTTCCATGGCGTGGAGGAAACGGCCGAGAAATATTTGGCGCCGGGCAGCGTCGGCAGCTTGGAGTACGAGAGTGGGAGTCTGAGTGCGTATCGGTTTACGATTGGGATGTTGAAACTTGCCCTGGAAAAAGGATTGAACCTGCAATGTAATACCCCTGCAAACAGCCTGTCCAGAGATGAGAATGGCCACTGGACGGTTTCGACGCCGCGCGGTTCAATCACCAGCAAGAAATTGGTCCTGGCTACCAACGGGTATACAGCACACCTGTATCCACGTTTACAAGGAGTCATCGTGCCCTTGCGAGGAGTTGTAACAGCCCAGCGCCCAGGCCAGAGCATGCCTCAACACGGGTTGGAGACAACGTACTCTTTTGTCTACAAGGAAGGTTTCGAGTACATGATTTCCCGACCACCTGGGAGCAAGTTCGAGGGAGACATTGTCATTGGCGGAGGCATGCACATTGCAAAGGACGATGGTATGAACGAATATGGGAATACTGATGACACCACGTTCGATGAATCCAGCGCAGAGTACCTGCTCGAATGCACGCGCCGGTATTTCGGCCCGAAGAATTGGGGCAGAGACCACCCCGACGGGCACAATCGCCGGACTTGGTCAGGAGTGATGGGGTTTTCAGCTGATGGGTATCCCTTTATCGGCCCCGTGCCCGGGGAAGAGGGGTTATATCTAAGTGCATCCTTTCAAGGTCATGGCATGGTGTTGTGTTTCTTGTGCGCAAAGGCGGCCACGACGATGATTGAGGGCAAGGATGGAGACGCGCTGAGCAGCTGGTTTCCAGATTGTTACAGAGTCACGCGCGAGAGGATGGGGAAGAAGTTCGAGGGCAGGATCAAGGCGTCCGGGGCACCAGAACCTCAAGCAGTCGAGAACGGAACACATTAAGCGTTACACAAGGGCTTCACGTAACAAAGATAGACGACCATACGCAAGATGTAATGCGATGGGGAAATCTGGAACACGCATACTGAGAAGGATGCATATCTGAATAGAATCGGAAGTGACTGGTCATAAATAACGGAGACCTGTGGCCCCAGAGATACCGCTCGTCCGAGAGAGATGCCCCGAGCACCCGGCTGATCTGCTGGTCTCTCGATCTCTCGATCTGCCTCAGATCGTGGCTCGTCTTCAAACGGGACGTGGAGTTGCGATCTGCTTCTGCCGCTCCTCAAGGACAGCCACCCGCCTGAGCCACTCTAACCAACGCCGAAGCAATGCTTTTTCAAACACTATCCTCAAACGCCGTCTAATGCGTATCCTGTCATGTCCCGCCGGCTCCGTGCTGCCGGCTTCATTCGTAACATCGTGTCGCATGCTGGGAGCATCAGCGGACCCCTGTCCAAGATGGGTGTAATGTCCGTTTGCAGGCTCATCTCCACGTAAATGTCGGTTGACAGCCGGCTCCCCAGCATCGGTATCAGATCCACTGCTCTACTGAGTCTGACACTGAGCTTGCTGCGGTCCATCCTCGTCGTCCTCCCACGCGCCTTGTGCCTCGTCGCCACCAATCTCATCGATATCGGCAAGCTCGAAATGCACCTCGTCGGCTTCCTCGACATCCTCAATCGGAGGTTCGGGTCCCGGGAGCAGTTTCTGCAGCTGCTCCAGGGAGCCTGGCTTCTCCAGGAAATAGCCGTCTTCGGGGAAGGCGATCTCGACGACCAGGTAGAGGTCGCCCTTGGCGTCCGACTTCTTCATGGGCATGCCTTCACCTCTGATCTTGAGCACTTCACCGGGACGGAGGATTTGGCCAGGCTCTTGGGGATGATTGAGTTCGATGCCACGCCCGTCAAGGTGCTTAAGCACCACGCGGTGGAAGCCAGTCAATGCTTCCGCCAGCGTGATGTCGAGTTTCGCGCTGAGATCGTTGCCCGTCCGCTGGAAGACTTCGTGGGATTGTTCAACGAGGTGGAAGACGATGTCTCCCGTCTGTTCTGCACCGGGGACTTGGTCGGCCTCCCCCTCCAATCTGATCTGATCGCCTTCCCGGGCGCCGCGAGGGATGTAGAGTTCGAGTTGTTTCTTCTCTTCCGTGACGCGCTTGCCCTTGCATTTCTTGCATTTGTCCTTGGGATTGAAGACCTGCCCGGTCCCCTCGCATGCGCCGCATTCGACCATGCGCTGGGTCAACATGCCCGGCCCGACTTGTGACAAGACTTGCTTGACACCCTGGCCCTTGCATTGAGAACATTCCTTGGCCTGGGCCTTCTCCGCTCCGCCCGTGCCCTTGCACTTGGAACAGATCACATTCTTGGTGGACGAGAATTTCACTGTCTTTCCTTTGTACAAATCTTCCAATGAGACTTCGTATTTCTGGTTTTCATCGGGACTTCTTCGCATTCTGCGCGGTCCGCCCATCCCGGGCATGCCCATGCCCGGGATGCCGCCTCCCATGCCAAACATGTTCAGGATATCCTCCATGTTGACTTCTGCACCCATGCCGCCAGGCCCGCGGCCGTCGAAGGCAGCCATGCCGTGGGTATCGTAGAGCCGTCTCTTCTCGTCATCGTAGAGGATCTCGTAGGCTTGTGACGCGGCTTTGAACCGGGCTTCTGCTTCTTCACGCTGCTCGGGAGGGACTTTGTCGGGATGGTGGGCCAGGGCGGCTTTTCTGTATGCCTTGCGGATATCGGCCTGGGAGGCGTCTCTGGGGACGCCGAGGATCTCGTAGAGATCGATCTCGGGAGCACCGTCGGGTGGAGTAGCGCCGTTCATGGTTGCTGTCTGTCGTCAAGCAGTAGTGACTCGAAATGGTATCTGGGAAGATGAGAATAAGATGAAGGGTGTCAGAATCCAAAATAAATCCCTGCAAGGCAACCAACGACTGACTAGCGATCGGCGTCGAGGATGGCGACTTTGGAGGGGTTTCGAAAGCGTGTCTGGCTCCTGCGCTTGTGGTGGTTGGGCGATTTTGGCACCCGCTTTTCTGCTTGACTTTTGGTCCATGGACGATTGACAATGGCGCCTGAATGGTCGGCTTGGAGCGTCTAGCAATAAGGCTGCGGGTGTCGACGATATTCCCGTGGCGGCGGAAGAATCACCGGCGAATCTGGGACCGGCTGGTGCTTGAATCTTCTCGTGCCTTCGGGCTTCGTTCTGGTGTTGATTACCACACCTTGCATAGTTGCTCTCGACACCATTCGCACATGAGGACGACGTCGGTCGCCCCCACGACGGCATGGGTATGCCATTCGTGCCGTGCGCGTGCGCGTCAAGCAGCGCCAAAGCGACTTCGACTATTCTCTGTCTCAACGCACAGGTCGACCACCGGTAGCAGCAGCACTCCTCCCGAGCACACTCCTCGACGAGGCAAGCTTCCCTCCACGCCGGCGAGAACACGTTTCGCCCCCTCTCCCACCGGCAGCCTTCATCTGGGTTCCATACGCACCGCCCTATTCAACTACCTGCTCGCGCGGGCGACGGACGGCCAATTCCTCCTTCGAATCGAAGACACCGATGCGAAGAGGACAATCCCCGGCGCGGAGGACCAACTCTTCAGGGATCTGAGATGGGCCGGTCTACAATGGGACGAAGGGCCCCAGGTCGGGGGTCCATATGGGCCATACCGCCAAAGTGAACGACTCTCGGTCTACAGGAAACACATCCAAGTCCTGCTGGACAGCGGACAAGCATACCGCTGTTTCTGCACGGCCGACCGTCTCGATGACCTCAACCGCCGGCGCCATGAGAAGGGACTAAGTCTAGGCTACGACAGGAAATGCCATCACAGCATCTCTCCCGCCGAAGCAGAAGAAAAAGCGCACCGCGGCGAAACACACGTTATCCGGTTCCTCTCCCCAGCCGAGTGGCCTCGATACAACGACCTGGTCTACGGCAAGGCTCAAGGCCATGGCGCCGAGAAGACCAAGAAACTCCTGGTGGATGAACCGGTGTACGAAGATGTCATCCTCATGAAGAGCGATGGCTTCCCTACGTACCACTGGGCGAATGTCTGCGACGACCACGAAATGCACATCACCCACGTCGTCCGCGGCTCCGAATGGATGGCCTCGACACCGCTGCACGTCGCGCTGTACAACACTCTCCAGTGGACTCCGCCGTCGTACGCCCACGTGCCCCTGCTCGTCGACCAGAACAAACAAAAGCTCAGCAAGCGGAACTTCGACTCGGACATAACCAGTTTCCGGACCAAGGGAATCTTCCCCGAAGCACTCGTCAATTTCGCCGCGCTGCTCGGCTGGAGTCACACGCAGAAGAAGGACGTCATGGACCTCGCGCAGCTCGAGGCCCTCTTCGACCTGAAAATCACAAAGGGCAACACCATCGTGTCGTTCGACAAACTCAACTTCCTGCAAGAACAACACGCCCGTCGCAGGATCGCCGCCGGGGGCAGCCCCCTGGAACAAATGATCCGCGACGTCGCCGTCGCCGTGCTGAACAGATACGGAGCCGGCCAAGTGATGCAGCTCCTCGCTCCCGACTCCGACTCCAACCCAGGCGCGCCGAAACGAACGCTCCGTGACCTGATCGCCCAACTCCTTCAGATCGAGTCCCTGCACTATCGGTCGCCCGCCCAATTCGCCGACCAATGCGCTTTGTTCTTCGAGCCCGTCCGGCGGCCCGTGGAACTTGACGTCGGGGATCCCGCCCTTTTCCACCCTCTCCGCGTCGCGGCGAGCACCCTCACGCTCGTCCCGGCCTCGTCGTGGACCAAACAAGTCCACCATTCCCACTTGCGCGCCTTGGAGGCCTCTCCTCCCACCGAGACGACCGCCACCGCCGCAAAGACGTGGAAGAGAGAACTATACCACTACCTCCGCTGGGCGGTGCTCGGCGGCAGACAGGGTCCCGGCCTGGCCGAGTCGTTGGAGATCCTCGGACGAGACACGTGTATTCGACGCATCCAGGACGCGAATGCCAGGGCCCGCGATCTCGAGACCATCAAGACTAGACCGGTTCTAGAGGCGGAAGGATGGAGAGGTGATGCCGAGGGGAAGAGACGGATCGACAAGAACTGGAGGGCGTACTCGTTGTAGCCTGTAGGGTACTGTACTGTAGTGTACTGTACTGCTGTAGATTGAAAATGCATTGTGCCGGCTCGACTGCCCGTCTATTCTCGATAGAGGGACGGGCTCTCGCTCCTCATTCTCTACCTCAAGGTTTTGAGGCTTCAGATTCCATGTCTAGCTACAGTAGGTACTCCATCTCATGCCGCGCTTTTGTGTGGGTTTGCTTCTCGATCCTTTACACCCGCTCGTCACCATAGATGGCACACTCAATCGCCATATCCATTCAAGGGCCACGCAGCCAGCCAGGCTACTCGGTCACCTCCCTGACCATCTCCCAGTTGCCCTTCAGATCCTCCTTCCACAACGTGACCTTGTTGTCGCCACCACTCACGGCCAGCACATTCCCGCTCAGACTCCAGCTCACGCGCCAGGTGACGGCGTCGAACTCGAGTGTCTTGGCCAGCGTCCACTCCCCGACGCCCTGCGCCGTCATGTTGGTGCTCGTCCAGATGCGGACCGTCTTGTCCTGGCTCGCGCTCGCGATGTAGCTCTTGCTCAGCAGCGTCGGGCTCCACGCCACGTCGCGCACCCAGTCGCCGTGTCCCTGCGGCAGGACGAGGACGTTTTCGTAGGTCCCCCCGGCGGCGCTGTGCTCCCAGATCTTGACCTGGTTGTCGCTGCCGCCCGTGACGAAGCGCTTGACGACGCCCGTGCTGCCGCCGTCCTTGCGCGCGATCGCGCCCGGCACCGCCGACGGCGCCCAGCTCACGGCGTTGACGCCCATGGCGTGGGCCGGGAAGATTACGTGGCCCCACTGGTTGTCGCGGAACTCGAGCACCGACACGTTGCCGTCCGACGAGGCGCACGCGAGCAGGCACCCCAGGTCCGGCGGCGACCAGGAGACCATGTTCACCGAGGCCGTGTGGATCGGGTGCTGCCACACGAGCGTCCATGACGATTGTGGCTGTTGGCCCGGCTGCGCTGGCTGGGCAGGTGTTTCTTTGTAGATGTGGACGCGGCCGTCGTAGGATGAGGAGGCCAGGAGAGTGCCGAATTTGGGGTGAGCCCAGGACACGCACCAGACTGCGCCCTCGTGACTGCGTAGGATCGGCGTGTGTTAGCAAGGGGGCCTCTTGGGGACTGGGGACGTAGCGAGGGGTACAGAGGCTATGGGTGGTCAGTCGTACCCTTTGAGCGTCTCTGTTAACCGGTGCTGGTCCCCTTCAATCTCGAAGATCTTGATCGTCTTGTCGCTCGAGCAGGTGGCCAGCCGGCGGCCATAGTAGTCAAGGACGGCGTCGTGCTACGTGAAAGAGTCAGCGTCGGCGCAGGAGTTCGGAAGGGGGAAGCGTTTTCGTACGATCATGTCATCGTGGCCTGAGTTTGCTATGACTTGCGCCTGTTGAACCAACAATTAGCCATGGTGTAATTCTCGTCGGTTCCTCATCTGAACATCGAAATGTCACGGAACTGCGCTCCTGGCCACCACGTATGCTGACGCAGTCGTCGAGCGTATAGTGAGAAGAGCAATGGCAGAAACCTACCATCTTGGAGGTGAGGTCGATGCGGAGGGGAGATGGAAAAGCAAAATGGCACCACTACCGCATCTCTCAAGTCGGCAGATCAAGGCTGTCGAGAGGAACGAGTCAGGTGTGCAATACTGTTGTTGGTTGCAGGAAGCGCGATCTGGCAACTATTCTTTACCGCGATTTCGAGAGTCGAATGCGCGGGACGCTCTGTCGATGATCTTATCTAATCGTTCACTGCCACACGACGCCACGTGCAGCCTTGCCAAGCCCCAGCAAATAGTTTTACAGCCTTGTCCACCACATTTGATGCTGCAAGTCCCAACTCAGTAAACGCCGCGCATACATGATCCTCTTAACAACCCTCCACGTACCTCACTCGGGTTCCCACCAACTCCAGTTGACCCTCAACGATGTGATGAATCGGACGTGCCCAAAGATAACCCGAAATCGAAGCTTCATCCACCCAGCAGGGATATTACCGGCCCAGAGGGACCGTATGCTTATGCAGTCCTTCGTTCCATACTGGTAGTTTCTTGTCCCTCTCATAAATCAAGCCACAGGAATTGCACAGTGTCTGCGAAATCGTTAGCCAGGTATCCGCGTGTTCAGAGACTTGACGATGCAACTCACTCTAGGACCTAACGGCCCATCTCTCACAGCCCACACAGCGCTGCCCCAGATCAGGCAGTGCTTACACCTCCAGTTCTGCCTCTCATACTCTTGTAACCTATTCCCCTCACCTCCCCAGCCCGCACCAGCAGAGCTTCCTGCCTCTGGGGTCTGGGCCTTCGCGACCGGAGACAGCGACCTAAACCGTCTCTTCTTCTTGCTCCTCTCGCCGCGACCCATCTGCGGTGTCTCATCCCCCGCACCGCCATTGCCGATGTTCGCATAGTCGAAATAGCTGCCTCTCTGTTGAGCTTCTTGTTCTCGCGCAGATGGGATCATTCCTGCCGTGGATGAGAATTTGGCGGTTTCCCGCCTCAGCCGCCTCAGCTGCCGTTCGCGGTCGCCTTCTCTCTTTTCAATCTCTTCCTTGCTGAGTGCTTCAAACTTTGGTTCCCACTCAGCACCAAAGTCGTCAATGTCATACCTCCAACCGGCACTTTCCTCGTGTCGAACAGCTTGATTGTCAATCTCGCCGCCGAATGCGTTGCCGCCGAGCATGAGCATTCCGCCTTCGCAGGCCTCCTTTTTGAGCCTAAGGACTGCTTCGTAGATGGCGTGTGTAATCGCCATGACCCATTCACCGCCCAACCCCATATCTGCACACGTCTGTCTCGCAAAGGCTTCCGCCGCGCCAGATGGATGCAGCAATGACCATTCAAACTTATCCTGGTAAAGTCTGGAAGAAAGATAAATCGACAGGGTGATGATGCAGCGGTAGGTGTCATCTGGGTTGAGGTATGGGTCCTCCGACTCATCCGTCTGTTCAGGTGGAGGGGCCGGTGGTAGAGGTGAAGCCACTGCTGCTATTGACGCGCCGTTGGTCAACGTCATTGGCATCGGTGTTGAGACAGCCGGCGTTCCAGGGGTTGTAGATGCGGGTCGGGGTATTGATGCGCCACGAATCGGCCGCGGTGTCCCTCCACGAGAGCTCCCATTAGCGATGCCTGATGGCGTTGGCACATTGTTCGCATCTGGCATCTGTGATCGCTTCTGCTGAGTATGAAACAGCGGGTGCATAGCGACGCCGGCATAGTCTTCCAGCTGAGTCCGGATCTGCTGGCTAACATTCATGGCGAGCGCGGTCTGATTGGGTAGGTCAAGTTCTCGGACGAAACATTGTGCAAAGTCATCAGGGGTCAACAAATTTTCGTGCAGATTCCACAAGAAAATGTCGCGAATCTTGTACCCCGGCAAGGGCTCGGGTCTCTTGAACATGGGCAGCGAAGGGTTGATTCCCACGTCGGTTCGCGAGAGAGGAAATGGCGCATCTGGCTGGTGCGCTGGTACGTCGAGATCGATGCGTATGGGTATCAGTGTGAGCGGGAGCTGCGATTGAATATGGGCTTGAGCATCCGTCCTGTTCGGCTCGTCAATACTGTCCACGAGGACCCCGGGACAGCGAGATACTCACGTGGGCCGTACCGTCCTCCTGATCATCCAATCTCGGTATATGGGCTGCAAGTCCACGGGTTCACGTAACTCTCTCCCTAGCTTTTCATTCTGCGGCTCTTTCTTCTCGACTTCTTCCCGTCGCAGTGATCGTAGACCTGTCGGCCGGCGTGGGCCTTCGCTGTCTTCGAAGTCGTCTTCATCGTAGGCGTCGTCTGCGTAGTTGATGATTGTGGTTCCTCGCTTGGTGGTCCGGCCGGCGGGCGCGACATTCTGGGTCTGGAGAACTGGTTGGAGAAGGGTGTTGGCGTACTGCCGGAGTCGCGGGGGATAACTGGTCACATATGCTTGCGCCGGTGCCATTGTGTGTCGAGAGAGTATCGCACTATGACATGGTTAAGCGGGTCAGACGAGGGATTCCACGCAGCAGCCGCTGCTCTCTGATAAAGATAAGTACTGTTTCGCGCGCAACGGGGGAGGAAATAGTAGCATCCGCGAATCTTCACAGTCGCGACTTGCCCTTCAGAGTAAAGCGAAATCTGTTCGCGACTGACCCCGATTGGGAAAACTTGTCACGCCGCTCTATGATCCAGCGTTGGCCTAAGCAAAGTCAGTTACGGGGGAGCAAAGCTGTTTACGGGGGAGCAACCATCCACTATTGCGAAAGTCTCCGTCGCAATGATGGCTACAATTCCCTGTGAGCATGCTACTCCTCCATTCCAAGGTGTTGTCTCTCCGGAGCTCTTAATTTTCTGGATCAAGTTGCGCAAGCTGGTTTGGTGGGCTTTTGGAAGGCTTCACATCAGGTGCGAAGACATGTCAAACGGTGTGTTCTCTCGAATCAGTGCCTCCGTTGGAATATCAGGTACCTTTCGCGGTTCTCAATTTCTACAACCGCACAACGCTCAAGCACAGTAATAGTGTCGTCGAAGTCCTCCTTCTCCCAAGCCGGGACGCTGGTTCGATCCGATCCTTCAGAGTGTGCGCACGGCTTTGGCTATTGCGACGACTTCTCGTCTCCTTCTGTGACACAACTTGCTGTACAGGTCCCGCACGCTGTATGGATCGCCCACATACGCCAGTTCCCTCCCGTATGCCTGTAGCCCCAAGTAGTCTCCTGCACAAGAATAGTGTGATGCCATTTTACGATTTTGATCGGTCGCTCAAAGCAAAAGGTAACTGTCAACGCCAAGAGATGCCACAAGGTCACCGTAGACCAATAACACTCTGTGAGCATGTGAGCAAGGTGCCATGTCACGGCTGATCAAGATCGCTTACCATCTCCAAAGTCCAGACTCTTCTAATCCACACCTTCAACCTGCCCTGTACGCCCTCCACGTCAGTCAATTCAACACCTTCCCACCAGCACCTCCGGGCTGGTTTGCGCCAGAACAGCAACAGCTTTTGAGCCATGCCAACAACATTGCTGCCCGCGAGGTCGCCCTTGATGTCTGTACGTAACCTGGCGAGAGCTAAGCTGCAAATGACTGCTTTGTTGGGTTCTCCCGCTCGGTGACCCCATGTATCGTCATGGTTGAATCCGCTGCTCCCATCAGTAACCGGTCAGTTCGTTGATTGTTAGAGGACGTACCCAGCAGTCAGCATTTCGATTAGATGTTGCTCCGTGGTGCCGGCCTCCTCACTCCGCTTCAGGCCCGAGAAGATACCATCCTGTTTAAGCAATGATTTCCCGGCGGCTCGCTTGACCTCGGTCATTTCCGGCTGCTCGATATCCGCGCGCGGCGGTATGACATAGAAGTCGAGATCCTCCCTCAGCACAATGATTCCTGCCCGGTCTTGGAGCATATCTTTGGTAGAGCCTTGCAGAGGCTCAATTGAGATTGGATCATGCTCGGGTGGAGTGGTGGGTGACGGGGACGTTGAGGGTATTGACTGGGCAACATCTCGGAAGAAATTTAACATATACTGGAGGGAAGCAGGGTCATACTGTGAAGAATAAGTTATGTCTCCAATATAGATATAAGGGTTGCTCAGGACAGTGATGGGATGTGGGGTGTGGGCGGAACGTACGTCGACGGGATAGACGTCGCCTTCATGAAACGAGTTCATGTGGCCGTCAGGCAGGAGGCCATTGGGAAATAACGACAGCAAGACGAATTCAGGCAAGGTCAAGAGCTCATCACGAGATAGGGTGAAATGTGTCCCTCTGCACGAACAGTCAGCGTCCAGGCCGGGCTCCATGCCTTCCCCACTGGGAACTAACCTCAAATCCAATGTAATGTGCTCATCAGCGGCGGCTTCTCCTGCTGAACACGGAGTCAGTATCTCTCTTTCAAGCATGCCTGACGCCATTGCGAGCTTACCTCCAAGAGTATTGATTGGTGGACCTGTCTGTTGAACTTGTGTGATGATACTCGCCGCGCCACCTGCTGCCGCCATGACGTAGGTAAACGAATCTAGAGGGCTGGAGCCTTCGGTATAGGGAGGAGGTGGCTCCCCGTCGTCTAGTGCCTTGCCCGAGGAAGACTGAGCCTTGGTGTCCGGCGGGAGAGCTGCCTTGGTTTCGCGCTCAGCCTTGGACTCGGCGTCGTCTTCGGCAAGAGCCTCCTCGAAGGAGGGTGCCGGAGCAGTGACGAGAAGCGAGTCGCAACCAGCCTCGGTGACAGTGGCTCTGATCTGGTCAAGCTCGGCGTCGGTCGGGAAGTATAGGGAGGAGAAGGGGGGTGGTCGTGGGGACGGAGGACTCGACGAGGAGGCTTCGGATCTGGGGGAGTGCGGCGGCGGCGCAAGATAGATCTTGTCTTCGTGGTCGTAGTCGTCGTCGAGAGCGTTGTTGAACCTCGACAACGCCGTGGTGGGCGAGCCTTGTTGACGAGAAACCGGGGGGGACAATGTGCGTGATTGGGCGCCGCAGCCGTGCAGCGATGAATTGACCGGCCAATGTCAAGCGCAATTTGAGATTGAGCGAGGACAAGCGCGGACGCCGTCGATGGCGTTGAGCGGCAGATCGATCTTGCTCAGCACAGTCTGGACGCAGTGTAGCAGTCAGGTCGACGGGTTCATCGGCGTAATGGAGTGGTGGAGCGATGCTTGAGTCACGCTGAGCTGGACAGTTGATGTTCAAAGGTGGCTTGAATTCGAGATGAGGTGCAGAAATCGGACAGCGTCGAGGGTGCGGTCTGTTCGTGCCCCGTTCCTTGATCGGGTTGCCCGTTGTTGTTGCTTGTAGGCGCCCAGCGGGCCGTCTGGCGCCTACCACTCCGTGGGCGTCGTGTTTAACTGGCCGCAGCCCTCGCGCTTGCCCGTTAGCGCACCTCCATCCCTGTTCCAGTTAAAGACTCCTTCGACTATGACATGCTGCGCAAGAGCTACAGTACGACGGCCGGGCTCTCGTCGTTGGGAGAGCACTTCTAACTTCCCTTCTATATTTGATGGATGTTTTCTTGGTTGGGTTGTGTTCTACTCCGTTCAATGCATAAGCTTGTTTGTACACTCCCACACCATTCTGGATATCAAGTTGTCATCGACGACTTCTATTCCTTTATTTCTCCACGATGAGTACCAGGCTCTTTCACCTGCGCCGACACCCGCGGCAACTGCTCCATTCCGGCCTCAACCGTACCTGATATGCCCACCAGTCATCATTTGAAAGGGTTCAATTTGTCGAGGATCTTTTTCTCCCCGGTTGCTTCGCCTGCAGGACGTACATCTCCAGTTCCTTGACTCGGAGTGAACGCTTCTCCGCCAGAGCCGGAAATGGCACTGCTCTTCCCGCCCTCCGCCATGCCTCCGATGCCTGCTGTTTGAGCGCTCTGCCCAAAGTCGATGTTGGCTCCTTTGCCTGCTCCAGGGTGACCGCTGGTGCCAATCACTCCTGATCCTGCTCCCGCGCCGGCCGTGGTAGATGCTCTTTTCTGTCCTTGCAGTCCGAAGAGCTCCGAGTGGGAGCCGGTGCTGCCCGTGGCGCTCGTCTCTGGGTTTGCATCGGCTGGCGAGGTATCGGTCTTTCCTACGTTTGCGTCTGTCATCTTGAATGGAGGCTAGGTCGTCTCGTATAGTTGGTAGTAAAGATGTGTTGGCTCGCTCGTTTGAATCTATTTCGGCTTGAGTTTTGGCTTCTTACCGGACTGTGCTCAACGACCAAAACGCGAGTGCGCATCCCAGAAGAATATATCATCGCACGCGACCAGGCCCATTGTTGATTCTGAAGCCACGATGACTTCACCTAGCATTCTCTGACGACAGAAGCTTGACGTCCATTGGCCGCTGGCATTGGCAGTGAGGGGCTTGGTACCATCGGATCATTTCTCCGGGTGCACGGGACACGTTATAAGCCTTGCCATTGTTCTCGGCTCACACAATGGAGGGGGATCTGATGCCCTCATGGAGAAAGTTAAGCAGCATATCTGACGCGTAAATCAGGTTCTGAGGCAGGACCTTGGATCGAGAGACATTTTCGGATTGAGATTGGGCATCTGGATGTCTCTACGTGCAGCTAGATTCTCATGACCCCGTTCGATGAGTCCGTTCACGGCTGTGCTCGTCGACTCAAAAGCTTCTCAGCATTCTTGCTACACAGCTTCTCTCTTTCCTCCTCACTCGGAAACACAGTCGGGAGGTGGTCATCATGTTCCTTCGACAACGCCTGAACACCCCGCAGCGGTGTGTAGGGAAAGTCGCTTCCGTACAGCATCCTGTCCACGGTGACATACTCCAGTAAGCCCTTGGTCTGTTCGGGAAATGCCCACCCAGCAGTGTCAAAGTAGAACTGTGTGTTCAGTCTTTCTTTGACCCACGCCGGAGTAATCTCATTGGCAGCACCGCCCAAGTTCATGAATGGCGCGACGCTGGCGAAACGATTGATCAGCGGCGGAAACGTGCCCCCCACGTGCGGCACGAGGAAGGTAATATCGGGACAACGCTTGACCGTGCCAGAGAGGAATAGATTGATGACCGCGCGAGCCGTGTCGAAGAGGAACTCGAACATCGGTCTTGGGAACTGCGGGAGCGGCGTCGCCGCCGTGCCGGACGACAGGCACGGCGTGGTAGGATGCATGAAGACGATAGCCTTCCTCCGATTCAGTTCATCAAAGATGGCATCAAAGTCGCGATGGCCAAGGTAGGAGCCGTGGAAGTTGGTCAGGACCACGAACCCATCGGCGTTGAGGTGATCCAGCGCGTGAGGGATCTCCTGCAGACAGCCGTCGACATCGGACAACGGCAAGGAAGCGAAGAACCCGAATTGATCGGGCCGCCGTTTCTTGAGGTCGGCGCCGACTTCGTTGACGTGTCTGGCCAGTTTCCGTGCCAGTTGGTGATCGCCCGCCTTGAGGTGAACGCCCGGTGAGCTGACGCTGAGGATGGATTTGGTCACGTTGATCGACTTCATCATTTCGAGGTGGCTTTCCTCGCTCCATTCCTGGTCCGCGTCAGCAAGGGCACGGCAAACCGGGGGCTTTGGCATACTGGAATGGCGGGCATGCCATCTGGATTCACATGGCCATTCTCAGCGAGAGCCTTCCGATATTCACTGCGCCGCTGTCAGCTGTGGTTCAAGGCTGAGGTGAGGATGGGCATACGCGGGCAGGTAGTGGGAGTGGCAGTCGATTTTGCCGTACGGCGACATCTTGGTCAGAGGATATCGTGCTCGCGGAGGATATTACAGCACGACAACCTTTTGCGTTGAGTTGTTTGTGTTTTATATATAGGGAGGACGGTGGTTTCGCGGGGTCCGGCACGTGGAGATGGGGCTGCAATCTCCCCTCAATCTGACACGACGCGCACCCACGAACAGGTGGGACGAAGCGTGGTTAGGCATGGCGGTACCTCGTACGCTCTTTCGCACCCTCAGCCTCCGCATCGTCCCGGACGAGTCGCAGCAGGCCTGTGGGAAGGTCATGTTCCGAGAGTTCCCTGGCCCCTGGATGTTGGCGGGACCCCAAACAATCCGTGCTCGACGCCTGCTTGAGGAGGAGGACGAGGAGGCTTTCTACCCAGCCAACGCCTTGCCCACCAGCTCCTTTGCTCTGCCGCTCAGATCCATGTTCAAAGCCAACTCCTGCCCTCTCGCGCCCATCTTGACCCACGTCTTCTGCAGGATCGCGATGATCTTCTCCTCGTCATGACCCTTCTCAAACTCGTCGAACTGATCGTCCAGGAACACCAGACAGGCGACATCCTCAACGACCTGTGCGTCGGCGTCGCCCTTGCCTTCGCCCTTCTTGAGGTCCTCCTTGGCTATCAGGGCTGCCACCTTGCCGGCTTCTTCCTCGCTGTACGAGCAGTCCAAGCATATCTTCTTGACCTGTTCCGCCTGGCGCTTCTTCAGGAACGTGCGCCACGCAAAGTATCCGGCTTTCGTACGAGGGTAAGTGTCGCGCGATATCTCCCAGCGGCGGAAGTGCTGTGCTCGAGCAGCCGTCACGACGAGAGGATCAGCGCCGGGAGTATGGAGGTCGAGGAACTTGGTCATCTTCTGGGCGTAGTGGAGCTCGTAGGGAATCGTCTCGCCATCGATTGTGACAACGTTGGGGTCTTCTCTGTGAGCTGCGTCTATTAGTTCCAAAGCTCTCGTAACGTCAGGAGCCATGGCGACGGCGCTAAGTTCTATGACTGTGCACGTTCACAGACGAAAAAAGGTGTTTTGACCGTCGGCGCTCAATGATTATCTCGAACCTCGCAAAGCTCATGAACCCATCCCGAAGATTTTCCTACAAAGTGATGTCACCCTGCAGCGCCGGCTCTATCACCATCAGCTATCGATCACCTACTAACTATGTTTCAGGTGTCCATGCATCTCAAGTCCATGTTTCGAGATTAGAAGACTCACGGTGTACGAGTACTCCCAGCTTCGGCAATCCGTGGTCACTGTACAAAGGGTAACTGTCGTTAAATTGACTAGGACCAGCTCCTGCTTCTGCTCCTGCTCCTGCTCTACTCCATTCTCCCCAAACCACTCGTCGACGCCTCTACGTTTCTCGTCAGGCAAATATCGTCCATGAAACCAGCCCTTCTCATTCCTCACTTCTCGCTTCTCATCTCTCCTCGCTCGCCTCTCAAGCGCCACCCTCCCGCTTGGCATACTCATCCTCGATCCGCTCATCGTACAGCGCATCAGCCTCCTGCTGCGTGAGTCTCTTCTGCTGCCCCTTCCCACCATCAGTGATGCGCCCCTGAGCAGGCTGTCCCGCCCCACCATTGGCAAGGATTTGCTGCTGCTGCTGCTGCTGCTGCTGCTCTGCCGGGATCCGTGTCCGCGTGGTCGTTGTCTTCTTGTGGCTAGCCCCGGCGTTCATCGAGAGCGACCCGCTCACCGCGCCTGCGACCGACGCTCCCGCATTGGCGACCGCTTCGGATGTTTTCTTGAAAAAGCCTGCGTCCTCCGACATAGCTTGATACAGGATATGTAGCGGGACTGGGTATCCGTGTAAATGGGTTTCTACTGTGGAAATAATGTACAAGTAATTAGGTGAGACGGCGAATGTTGTGGCTGTGGCTGTGGTTGTGGTTATGACTGTGTGAATGAACTCTGGAGAGTACCACGGCAAGCGTCGGGTCCAAAATGTACAATTTGTGTACGAGGACGAGAAGTAATGTCGAGCCGGCTTAAAAAGGACAGGGGACCTGTCTCCCCGGGGAACTTGTCCGCCTGATATACTTTGACAGGACGAGTACGAGCAGCCGCCCGGTGGTGCTGGCATCATAGTACCCCAGTACGAACAGATATCATACGAGCACCTACTGGGACCATCTGTCTGGGCCGGGGCCTCAAAAAACAGGTTTTCGCAACCGTATTACCTTATCAAGGGTTCGAGGATTCAAGGATTCGCACATGGTCTGAAGGTGGCCCCGAACCTCCAGACCTGAACCTGACGATCGCAAGCTGAAGCCGACGTCATACCTCGTGTGCGAGTAGATCGTGCTTCGTGTGTGCGCTCGTGCAACAGCGATCTTCAAAAGACTGAAAGACGAAGAACAGACTTGTCCGTGTATGGCAAGGTACTGGAATTTCACGTATAATGGAAACCCTCTATGCGGAGCCTTCCGTTGACCCGTATTGCTGGGTACCAGCCAGTATCACACATCTGATTGGTTGGCCGGCACAACAAACGGCCAGCCTTTGTGCCTTGCGACAACGAACAGCGAACAGCGAACAACGAGTGCAAGGCCGCAACAATGCAAAGATGTTGCCAAAATAGATTTACCTGGCTTTGAGGGTAGCATGCCATTTGTAGCAATCAACAATGAAGCTCATTCTATGTAGACCGACCATCGTCCAGCATGTGTTTGGGAGACTTCGCATTTTTGCTTCTCCTTTCCTCCTGAGTAACTCAGCCTCGTCGCCATTGCGATATCACTATCATATCTATATTCGTGAAAACAGCCGTACTAGAAGAGAACAAGACCCCTCACGCATTCCAATAACTGCATGTTTCAGCGGCCATTCGTTCATCTCCAGAACTGCTTTCGAACCTCGCCAAATGAACCCATCGACGCTGTGCGCCGACCGATACCTGACCGAACGACTGACTGCCACACCCACACATTCACTCCGACCGTATTCACTTTGAATGCCGGCAACACAATAATCCGCCAAGCATTCACATTCACTGTTCGCATACTCTCCATCTGTGAGTCTTCGTTTTCAATCGATTGATTGTGTAGGCCTGCCTCCATTGTTCGAAACTTCCTCCAAGCGACATCACACAACAACATCAACACCACGATCATCTCTCCTGCTTGCCAGACTCGATTGTCAGCTCAGACAGAGATAGACCACATTCCCATACTTTTCGCAAGCTCTCAACTTGCTCAAAATCCCCCAGAATCATACTTCTTCGAATCCCCTTCCCTCGTCCAAGACCGCACTTACTGTTTGCCTTGAGGTCAGCGACCAACACCACAAAGCAGTAGTACCTACCTTTACACATTCCTACCACTTCGCAGCTTTCGAGAAGCGCACCAGAACCGCTAGGATGCGGGACCTCAATCTCACACTCGTCCTCCTCTTCCTCCTCGGTCTCCTTGGTGCAGTCGGTGCTTGGCCGAACCGGGCCGAACTCATGGTCGGAGCCCTCGGTTTCATGGGCTGCGCCACTTTCTTTGGCTTGAATCTGCTTCGATCAGCGCGAGAATACCAACAAGAAGTCCCTGCCATAGGTAGCGACGAAGAAGTCTTCAAGGATGTCTCGATCGGCTCCCTCCCTTTCGCTCTGCCTCTCCCTACACCCACGACGACCACAGACGGCACACCTACCACCACCATTACACAGACTGATCTCCTCCCTTCAATCACGCGAGAATCTCGCAGTTTCTACACCGTCTTCGAGCTAGATCCTCCTGAAACGGCCACCCTGTTCTCCGGTTCACCATCTGTGCCCAAACTCGTCGTTGTGGAGGTTTTTGACAATAGCACGGTCATCAGCGCAGAGATTGTGGTTCGTCTTGCAGACGCCGAGGAAAAATCCCGGGACTTCACCTACCTCTCTCCTACCGAGACGACTTCACCCGTCACAGATCCGACCACATACCCCGACAACACCTTGGGTGCCAACATTCCTACACCTGATTCGACTGATCTCAACACAACCTCTTCGACATGGGCACTGCCCTCTTTCATCGTCCACGCCCTTCAAGACAACAGACTCAAGCCTTTCGTCGAGACGGCAAGGAGAAAGCTCAACTTCTTCTGGGAGTTGCGAAACACCATCTTCAGTCCGCTTGTTCGGCTATTGCCAGTCCACCCACAGATGCTGGGCTTCATCTTGATGAGCGTCAAGCTTGCCAGCCTGCGGTTCCCGGGAATGACGAGAGGACGTCGTCGGGTGCCCGTCCTGCAGCGCCTTGGTTGGATCCGAAACCCTCAGCTTGCCATCGAAGCTGCACCTGGAGCAGGGCCACAGCTTGAGCCATCAGTGGTCGATGCAATCGAGGAAGCCGAGGCTATTGTTCAGAGTCTTGAGTCTTTGAACTTGGTCGTTGAACGTCGACTTGACAACAGTGGGCGCCAAGAGGAGGACCGAGACGACGACACCGAGTACGTCGACGCAGTCGATGAACAAATACCCGTCGTGCAGCAAATGCCTGTGGAGGTGAGACGGTCGGGCTTCATCATGAGGCCCTTGCCTCCGCCGTCAAGATCAATCTCTCCTACAAGCGAAGCGGCCACCTCAACCAGTGAAACGGCTGGTGACTTGACCGACGCGACGCTGAGGAGGCCAGACCAACCTGGATCATCGCTGAGGACGTCGTCGCAGCCAGCGGCGGAGCCTCCCAAGTTTCCCAGCACCCGCTCAACAGCTCCCATTGCCGAGCACGTCCTCCGCCGCCGACTACCCATCACCCGTTACAGAGAGATGAAGAGGTCGCCGCGCGTGTTGACAGCTCGCCCGGATGACGCTGAGGACATGCGGCCTGACCTGGCAGATCCCAAGAAGTCGCTGCGCGACATCTATAGGCCCGCCTCAACTGGTCCGTCTGCATCTGCAACTGCACCACTGTCGATGAAGAGCTCCCGAGCTACCGATAATACAGTGCCCGTGCCTGTATCTGGCAGCGTTGGAGTGACTCCCTCTGCTGCAGACCAGCAACCAGCAGCTCGACCGCAGCCGATGCCTGCCAAGGCAGTAACTCAACTTCTCGAGCGTGAGGTCAAGGAAGCTGAGATTCCAGCAGGCCATGTCTCCCAGTCCACACCGCAGCCAGCTGTTTCACCGGTAGTTGAACAGCCTGCTGCGATTCAGTCAAGCGATATTGCCCCCCCCCGAAGCGCAAGTTGACAAAAGCTGAGCTGAAAGACGAGCAGTATGCGCGTGCACGTCAGGATGTTGAGATTGAGAGAGCCAAGACCAAGCCGAGCATCAGATCTCCTCCACAGCACCAGTTGAACGAGAATTCGCGCAACTTTCGCGTGGGCCTGCTTAAGCGTCGATTCCAGGATAACTGCGGTGTCGAAGACCTCGATTCGGCCCAGTTGCGCCGCTTCCTTGACTTCTTTGGCATATGGGACGCAGTGAACCGCGTTTCTGCAAATGTCGTCTACCAGCAGTGGACCGAGTACCAAGCTTATGAAAAGAAGTCCGCGGCAGAGAAAGGGCAAGCGGCCACCACTGCTTCCAAAGCAGGCTCGACCGAAGCTGAAAGCAACTCGGCGGTCGAAGTTGTTGGGACTGCCGCAGAAATAGCACAGCAAACAGAGCCTCAACCAAGCAATGTCACTCCTCCCCTCAAGGTCAGCAGTGCTCAGCGCCCGCTTCTCTCAGAGAATGTTAGAACCGCCACAGAAACGGCACAGCCGGCAGAAGCAACAGCAGAGGTACAATCGAGCAATGTCGCCCCTCGGGTCACCAAGATCAACAGTGCTCAGCGCTCGCTTCTCAGGGACACGCTCCGAAACCGTCTGAATAAGAGCTTTGGTGTCCAAGACACCGATACTAAAAAGGTCGAACAATTTCTCGACGTTTTCGGCTGGCATAAATTGAGTCTGGAAAACTTGAACGAGGTTTGCGAGGCATGGCTCGCCTGGGAAGCTGAGCAGACAGCCAAGGCTGCCGCGACATTGTCAAACCTGTCGCCCCCTGCGCCCGTAGCCGCGTCCGAAGGAGAGCAGGCTGTGATCAGTACTCATGAATCGAGCTCGACGGTAAGTGCAGACAAGACAGAATCGTCTGAGAATGCCCATATTTCACCAATCTTGGATCAGTCACCAGATGCACCTGCACAGCAACAGCCACCACAGACTCAGTCAAATGATGTCTCTCCCGTCCAACCCGACACGACTGATCCTCACTACCGCGCCTCGCTCGTGACATATCTTCGGACTGAAATCCGGGACAAATTGGCTGTCAAAAATGTAAATGAGGATCATATTCACGAATACCTCGACTGGTTTGGCTGGGAGAACGTGAGAAAGGATAATTACTTGGATGTTTGCAAGAGTTTCCTTGATGCAGTAGCCGTTGCGAAAGAGCAAGCCGGTACCCACGCCGCCAGCAATGCACGGGCGGAGTCCGAGATCAATGGAGAGTCTTCTCAGGCCGGTGCATCGTCTGTTGATCCCGAAGCCACCTCGACATCCAGCGAGATTGATGGTGACGAGGACGATGGCACCAACGCGAACAGACATGAAGAGCCTGAAAAGCCCGAGGAGGATCTGCCGCATATGTCGCACATCAAAGGTGACAGTGACGATGACAACGACGATAGTCACAACGGCCCGCTTCCCTCTCCATCATCAGGCACAGTTGTCGAAGGGACTTCCTCGACGGAGACCAAGTCCACTGAAGAGAGCAACAATACCGTCCTTACTGTTGGCGAGGATAACGGCTCTGGCCATGAAGGCCGCTCTACTCGGTCCACCGCGCTTGCGCCTGTCACTGCTCCTCCTCAGTGGCCCGTCTTCAATGGCTTTCAGTTCAATGTGCAGTCGCATCTTCCGGAACGACCGGTCTACCAGGTGTCAGATGAAGACAGAATCTTCAGGGTCATCCCGGACGCATCCGGTGCCAGTACGCCTCGCCGTTCGGCTCTTCGCAATCGAGAGCGTGACGCAGATGAGGTAGCGTCAAGATTAGGACACCTCGGTAGAGCCAGGATTGCAGTGAACGATGATGGGTCACCAGTTGCTGAGACGTGCCGCTTTAGGGCACAGGAGCCGCCTGCACGAATCCAGCGGGCGTACCATATGGACATCGATGGAGAAGGGCAAGAAGCCACCGGCGTTCCAGCTCCAGCTCCTATCCCACGTCCACCTCCAACACAACCGGCGTTTGTGCAGTCGTTCTCGGGTGCCACTGAGTTCTCGCCGGAGATGGAAGGCGTTGAAAGCCAGGATGTTCACGATGAAATGGACGGCGTTGAGACGCCCGAGCTCCATGAGGAAATGGAGGGCATTGAGAAGTCGGATCTGGATGAGGAAATGGACGGGGTTGAGTCAGACGAAGTCTGCCTGACTTATCCTGGACTTCAACTAGAGCAACCGACGATGCCTCACCAGCAGCCAGTGCCCTATGTCTCCCCCTACAACGTGGTCCCACCATCCAGCGCACCCCCGGTGCAAGACCAGCAGATGACGATGGCAGACGAGCAGGGACTTTCGAATGCCGCGCTTTCCGATGCTGCTGCCCCCAACCAAGTGGACAGTCACCAGGCTCAGATGAGTCAGTACGATCTGCACGGCTTGCCGACTCTCGAGACCACAGAGTGGAACAACCTGGAAGCGATCGACGAGCAAGAACTCCAGCGACAACAGGAACCGCAGCAGCAACCCATAGTTCTGCAGGGTCAGGACTGGTCGGACCCAGAAGACTTCTTCGGTTCGATAGGATTGAGTCCGCACACAACTGGAGCCGGGCTCAGCCTCGATCTCGCTGGCGAGATGCCGGAGATTCGATCGTTGTTGGACTCTCTTCTAACCGGTGGTAGGTCTGAGTATGACCCGCACGATCCTCAAGCTGGGATGGAGAGAGTTGAGGTGGATCCTTGTGCAGATGGGGCCCAATATGCCCAATATGCGCCGCAAGTGGCTCCGACTACAATGCAACCGGCTGTCGGTGACCTCCCGTATGGCAATCCGAGTGAGTATGCAGTCGGACAACAAAACGCCACGGACGTTGCCAACGAGCAGAGCGATGTGGCCCCAGGAGCTCCGGCATCAACAAGCCAACCAGCCATGTCAGCATGGGATCGTGCAAGGCTTCGGACCAACATGCAGAGCACGGAATCCGGATCGCCGCAGAACACTGTCGACCAACACGCTCACACTGGTGAAGAACCAATTCCCGATGACCGCATAGACGAGCTGAGAGACTGGGGTGTTACTTCGAGAGACGGAATCAGCAAGCTGTACAGGGGCCACGTCCAGAGAAAGACATTGAGGCCCAGGAGCCGACTGGCGGCCCTGCAAACAAATACCGCGCAGGCCAACCCATTCCAGAGTTTGTTGCAGCCACAATCCAACACCATCGTCAATCCTCAAGACATCCAAATCCCCAAGGAGCTGGCAGCTGCGCTTCAACGAAGACACAACCAGACTCAGGGAGGTCGGATGTCCCAGCCCCTGCAACAGCCCGCTCATCCCCACGAAAGCCATGCTGATAGAGAACTCAACCCAGCCCCAGGACCTAGCGGAAACGGTTCTTTCCAGAACTCCACCCAAAGCGAAAGAAATGCTGAGGATGACAGCTTCTCAGATATCTCGGACTTGAACGAAGAGGAGAGGAGCCAACTGCCAGCCTATCTCCAAGTCTCAGGTACTCCCGATGAGCAACCTCACCATGACGAAGACAACGATGAATCCGACAACCTCTCAGACGTTCCGGACTTGGATGAAGAGCAGAGACGCGAAATTCTAGCCCGTCTCCAAGGTCTAGGTTCTCCCAGCACTGAGCATCAGGATCATGACGAAGACAGCTCTGAAGACGCGCTGTCCCCTCCTACCCACAACTCTCAGCATGACGACATCTCCTTTGAGGACTCTGTCGAAAACTATCTGTATGACTGTCCCGAAGACGAATCCATGAAGAGAGAGGCCGAGGAATACAGCCGTACGGGATAGAATCATGGACCTGTTCGAGCCAACTGCAACGACTGAGCATCTGGTGGACAAGGACAACGACGAGGGAGATGAGGAGAGTGGGGCAGAAGAGGGCGCGGAGGAAGAGTTCCACGTGGGCCATAAGCGTGGCAGGGATGACGATGAGGATGACGATGAGGATGAAAAAGACGATGGGGTCGTCAAGCGGCATTGCGCGTCTGTTAGCAGAGAGCGCTTCTCGCTACATGGAGAAGGCGAAGGGTACCAGAGCCATTCAGAGCCCAAGCAGGGATATCGGTACGGGAATGACGAGGAATACAGGCAAGAAGAAGTACCGAGTCATGCGACAGGTCGCCACGATGAAGCGGACATTCATTAGGACAGGAATATCGACAACGCAAAGGGAGACGTTGCATACCAAGTGGTCGACGACGGCGTGGAGTGGGAAAGTCCACCCGACCTGATTGACGATGAATACGACGTCGATGGGGCCGGTCCACACAGCACGCAGAAGACTTTCGAGGGACAGGAGAGCGACGGTTTCCCATGCTTGCATCGACTGTTCCACGCCTTGGATCGACTGTCAAGTCGAGGGCCGTCACCATTGGAGATTAAGAGACCTCGATGGGTCGTTGTCCACCGCCATGAAACGCGACTCTGAAGAAGGGCGGGCCCAGTTGAGCACTCAATGGGCCACCTTCAGATATGAGCACCGGTGGACTTTGATTGAGAACTGCCATGAGACCGTCAGCGGATACGTCGACTATCAAGTGCAGCAACAAGCGATCCAACGGTTCAGAGCGGAGGAGGAGCGGATTCCTGGAGGACATGTTTGAAAGGCTGTTGGTAGCATGCGAGTTTGAAAGGCACCAATGAAATGTCGCAAGAAATGTTTCCACTTAGCTCTTCCTCTTACCACCTGCCCATCTCGCTCTCGGTCTTTTCAGCGTCCGTGGACCTTCCGAGATCGTACCGATACACGGAGAAAAGGAAAGGCGAAGTCATGCGAGTAGTCACCCGACTGCTGCTTTCGTTCTCGATGCCCACTTCCCTGAAGGGGATCTGCGAGGTTCTTTCTGTGATCATTCAGCAAAGTCGGTCGAAATGCCGCGCCGAGGGGGCTGCGAGGCTCACCAAAGGAAGGTGGTTGGTTCTACGTTGAAAATGGCTCACCTCCGCGGATTTTGCAGGGTTCAGGACAAGTTCACCATTTTACCACCGCCTTTAGTCAGCTACTCATCCCTCAACGATATCAATCCCAGTGAAATGGGGGTCATCACAAACAAGGAGAAGAGACAAACTCAGGCAAGCACGTGAGTGGCCACTGATATCTGTTCCACGGATTCGGCCGAGTCGGTAAGCTCACAACAGAGCCAAGCATTGGAGAGTGCCCGTTGTGGTATGGTAGGGATCTCTGAAGAGGCATCGCGAGGGTGGCACGGGTGGATGGATTGCGGCCGGAAAAGCGCCATCGACGTGGGCTCACTCGGACGATTGATCGGGCCCGGACGGTGGCAGAGTTTGCCGAATCCGAGGATACGACGCATGGTGGAATGGGGCGCCATATCAAGCTTTCACCCACGAAGGTGCATCTGTGATTGGGGCAAGCCGCAGGCGGACGGCGGACCAGACTGAAGGGGCGGCGCGGATGAAAGTGAGTCCCAATGAGTCGACGCGGCACGGAGTAAATCCTGGCTGAGGAGGATGTGAGGCAGGAGAGTCGGGCTGAAGGCGTGCTTGCATCTCTTTGCGCGGGAGCAAGTGGTGACTGTAAATTAAGTGTGTAAGTGAGTGACCTGTTAGTGACCTGTTACTGATTTTGTCATCCTGAAACCGATCTGGCTCCCGGATCAAGCGAGGCGAGGTCGACGCAGTGAGTTGAGACTGATTTGTCGTAGTCTGATACACTGGAGCCCATCCACGCACGAAGCGAGGAAGCCACGCCCATGTTTGGCTGGCCCGGCCGTTCGCGGTCGAAAGCACGGGGAGGAAATACGCGTAAAGGCGGGTTGTGTTTGACATGACTTAGGTACCTAGGTATTCGTAGTGAGCGGTCAAACGCCTGGCATTCATTCTACTGCGCACCGTCCCCCGGATCACAGATCCTGCGTGCTTGCCGCGGGCGATCAGCGGGCAGCGGCGTCCGCCAAATAACTGATGGGCAACGGGCATGGGGATAATTATTGTTGCCTGGAGGAGTGCGTGGATCCTGGAATCGGGTTCGGTATAACCCGCCCAATGCAGCATAGCTCGCACGCCTATGCCGCCTGGGTTTCAAGGTGCTGCCCCCCCTGCTGGTCCTGCGCTTCGTCATAATGGGTCGGCGTGCGCTTGGTATCCTTAGGTCATAAACGGGCAAGGGCTAAGAGCTCTGATCTCAGGACCCTGCCATTGGCGTCGTAAATCGTACAATACGGAGTACCTACGGCTCACTGAGACCATGGCCATCTGTGACTACTTGATACACTTGAGACCTTCCTGAATTCCCCAGCTCGAATCTTGTCTGCCTGACTAATTCTCTTGCATTCCTCCTGAAGTTGTCCTCCGGCGTTCGTTATCTCCGGCTCACATTTGAGTCGCCCACTTCACTGCCTGCTTTGATCAGCTCTTCTCCCGGCTCTGTTCAGGTGATATCCTGGTGGCGATCAGAAACTACGATTGAAACCTCAAGATGAGGTGAGCCATTGGCTGAGCAGTTCTTGACCGTCCACGCCTTCATCCCTCCTTTCGGGCCGGATACCTGCTTCCCGTCTCACAAAGCGCTCGCCGCATTGTACAGCCCTCCTTTGAGAGACCACAAGAGCGTGGACAGCCACGGCAGCGGTAGCACCGGAACACATCATGGATCCCCGAGGGAGCATCGATGGGCTGTCCTATGACATGTCCTCGTTCGTCCCGCAGCAGCCGCCTCAGATATTCGGAGCATATAACCCAGACGGCACTCCCATACCCCCGACCCTGCCGCCAGGTGCATATTTTGGGGATTACGATGGAGGACTCGACGAGAATGATCCCAAGCGCCGGCGCATCGCAAGAGTGTGCCTCCCTCCGCTGCGCACAAAGAGTATGAGCATTCTGACCGTGACTGCAGGCCTGTGACATGTGCAGGAAGAAGAAGATCAAATGCGACGGGAAGATGCCCAAATGTGGCCACTGCATAAATTACAAAACGGAATGCGTCTTCACACAAGTGGAAAAGAAGCGCAATCCTCCCAAAGGGTAGGTGACATGGTGAGCGAGCAATTGGAATGGTACTGATGCACACTCCCAGAGCCAAGTACATCGAGGGTCTCGAGAATCGGCTTGGGCGCATGGAGTCGCTTCTGCGCATGTCCGGCCTCCTCTCAGAAGAAGAAGCTGGCAAGACAGACTTGGGCACACTCGAGAAGCGCCTGGCCGAGAAAGCCTCTTCGAAGGAATCCGCGACACAGAAGTCTGATTCTTCAGCGCCCTCGAAGAGTAGCTCGGCCTCTGTGGCGCCTGAGAACTCCCCCCAGCTAGGGTCTGCGCGGGCCTCTACAGAGACTCCTCGCGACACTGTCAATTCGCCGAGCACAGATGGTGACAAGTCAAGTCGGGAAGAGGTCGAAAATCTCTCCGAGGCCATGTGCTCACTCGTGACCAACAACGTGGGCGAGACCAGATACATCGGTATGTTCTCCCGTGCTTAGGCCTGAAGTTGGGACCTAACATGCCTAGGATCGTCATCAGCGTTCTCCATCTTCTCAAGTAAGGGCATCGAATGGGTCAACGAGAAAACCGGCGATACATCTTTCCAAGAAACCATTCAGAATGCTGTCAACGAAGACGACACCAAGTGGCAGTACTGGAAACCCGAGATCTTTGGAGACATCTTCGTCCGCCGAGTCTTCAAGCCTCTTCCGCCGAAAGAGGAAGCTCTGTCCCTGTTCAAGGACTTCTTCGAAAACTTTAACTGCATGTTTCCCTTATTCCATGAACCTACCTTCATGCACCTCGTGGAGAAGCAATACTCCAAAGATCCTTATGAAGGCAGTGGCTGGTGGGCGAGCATCAACGTCGCCCTCGCCATTGCTTACCGTATAAGAGTCATGAGCAACGTTGTTCCGCAAGAAGACGACCAAAAAGCGTGGCTTTACCTGAAAAACGCCATGGGGGTCATCACCGAGCTGACCTTACGGAACACGGACCTGCTCAGTGTGCAAGCTCTTCTGGGCATGGCCTTGTTCCTGCAAGGCACTCCGAATCCTCAGCCATCCTTTTTCCTCATTGCTGCTGCCATCAGGTGTTCTCACACCATAGGCCTCCACAAGCGTGGGTCGGCATTCAACCTCAACCCCATTGAGGTGGAGCAACGCAAGCGCGTCTTCTGGATTGCATATCTGCTCGACAAAGATGCGTGTCTGCGGGCGGGAAGACCGCCGGCTCAGGACGACGATGATATGAATGTCGAGTTGCCCTCAGAAGATCCTCCTGACAACATAGGCAACGTTCCACTAGCGGACGGTAAGAGCAAGATCAACCTTTTCCGCCTGATGTGCGAATTTGCCGTCATTTCCAGCAAGGTATATCGCCAGCTGTACTCTGTTAGGGCGTCAAAGCAAAGTGATGGTGAGCTTCTCAACACCATCGGGGAGCTCGACAGGGAGCTGGAGGCTTGGAAGGACAGCATACCTCTCGATTTCCGGCCAGAGCACGAGATCAAAACCTCACATACTCCTCTCATCTTGCACATCGTCGTCCTCCATTTCTCGTATTATAACTGCTTGACGACGATCCATCGCATGTCGGTGCACCACGGGTATTGGACGAGTCGACTATCGGAGTACGCTATTCAGGGACTCAACGCTCGTCCTCTCAATCCTCGAGTCTTCTCCTCGGCTGCACTGTGTGTCTCAGCTGCGCGGGCCTCCATCCACCTCATCAAATACATTCCCCAGGGCGATTTCGCCTGCGTCTGGTTGATTCTGTACTTCCCGGTTTCGGCCCTCGTCACTCTCTTTGCGAACATCTTGCAGAATCCTCAGGATACTCGTGCAAGAGCCGACATCAAGCTCATGGACCTTGTGGTGAACTTTCTGAGCAATGTGGCCCATGACGAGGGCTCCGGATCGATCAATCGGATGCTCACTGTCTGTGCCGAGTTTGCTCGTATTGCCAAAGTGGTGATTGAAAAGGCCGAGAAGGAGGGTTCCAAGCGAAAACGCAGGCTTGTGCCAGAAGAAGTCATGCGTGTCAACCAGTCGGCCATGGCACAAGTACAGTCCCAGCTCAATGGGCGGAGAGCTGGTTCTCGAAGATCAAGTGGCGCCGGCGGCTCGCCGCATCCAGGGCTTGGCCACTTACCGTCGACGGCCAGCATGGCAGCAACGAATTTAGCGGCCCACTCACCAAGCACGACGACTCCCAACAACACCAACAACCACATCTTCAATATGTCAGCGTTCGACAACGACTATGTCGATATGCTTTCAGCGCCTGGCCTCAGCCCTGATCTCGGTAGCCAGCAAATCCCCAGCTCCACAGTGTCGCCGCTTAACGCAAGTTCTTTCCAACAACCCTTTGTCCCCCAGGACTTGTGGCAGATGCCGATGACATTCGAGTGGGATTGGGCAGAAACTTTCGGCCAACCAAGTTATAACGACTTCATCTTGAGCGACACCATGAACGGAATGCCTCAGCAATGATGTATGAAATACGCTCAACGTTACCAGCATGCAGACGGGGGAGTTTTCCATCATCTTCGTTTCTGCGACGAGGAGGACAGTAGGGAGTTAGTAATTCTGTCGGGCAAAACTGTACCAATACATGATACCCCCTCCTACACATCGATTCCGTCAGATTCAATATCCATGGTGTGCTTCGATCTCGCCGGAGACTGCTCGGGAAAAGAGAAGCTGTCCGATTGAGGTATGTGAGTTCTCTCCGGCCTGTGATCAATTCGCCAGGCGTCACTGTTTTGGTACAGCCTCGTCGATTTTGAAACCTTACAACGCTGCGCATTTCCGTTTACCACGAGATCCAATTGCCTGCCTCTCTTCGTCACTTTCTCCATCCAACCATGAAGACCAATCTTCCAATTGTTTGCTTGCAACCGGCCCCTCAATTTCGCGCGCAGTTTACCTTTGCAATTGCCTTTTTGTATGCGCGGTGTTTTGTACCTCTTCCTCAATTCTCAAGCGACTGCAATACGACCATCCCCTCTCATATTGCCTGCGCAGCAGACCTGCTCACACGACGGGAGTCTGCCCTTTCATCTCGAACCTCTACTCTTCTGGAACCCCACCAGCAACGGCCTTAATCTCATCGCAAGAACAGCGCGATCCTTGGTCTCCAAAGTTCGCCAGACCTCGCCCAACCCGCCACTTGCGACCTCCACCGTCAAACATGAAACAACAGCTCAAATGCAACCAGCAGTCGCTCAGCGGGAGGCTAGCAAGGCCTTCAACGCCAAGTTGCTTCACGACAACAAAGCCGCCGGCTAAGAAGCAGAACGCCGAAACCGAACGCCTCAATACCTCCAACGTCGACCTGCAACTAATAACTCTTGCGTACCGAAAAGAGACGTTGGAGTCCAACGAGGCTTTCAGTGCTGAGGTGCTTTCAAGAAGACAAGGGCCGTCCTCGAACTTCTGGTTGCGGAGCATCAAGCCAGTGACAACTCAGCACAGCAGCGCGTAGAGTGGAAAGACGACGAGATCCAACGACTTAAGGAAGTTGTTAAAAAGAGGCGGAAGGTGCACTATTCCAAGAGAAGGAGAAGTCTGACAGGTTGACAATCACCAATGCCCTCTTGCAGAATCGACAAACGGTCGATTCGTTGAAGGACGAGGATTCCGGAGAAGGGAAGAAGAAATCTTCCACCTGAGAAAATGAGCCGCAGCCACAACGGCGACGAAACGACAGCCAGAATCCCAACCCGGCCGTGCTTCGGCGAGGGAGAAACAGCTCGTTCCCGTTCAAGAAGAGGACAATGACCGCGTCAAAGTCCTTCTTCCAAAGCATCGGGACGAACTGCTCGAATAAACTCAGAGCCTCGTCGCGAAGTGGGAGCACAAGGATGGCCAGGTTGGAGGACAAGAATGAGAGACTTGAAGCCAAGATCGGCGATCTAAACGATGAGAAGAAAGGGCTTCATGCAGCGTGCTATCCACCATGGCCAGGAAATCCTTGACAACGGGCCTTCCAACAATGCCCAAGGCCGACGTCGTCGACTGGGTGGCGACGGAGGTCATTGCCGAGTTGCTGTCTAGTCATGGTCGTGCTCGTGCTCCCGCTCCTACCTCGGCCCCAGAGCTGGCTGGCATAGAGGAAACCTAGAGACATAGAGGACGCGGAGGAGGCGGCGGCGTCGTCGTCGTCGTCTTTTGAGCATCCTGTTGTCGCTCCTGATGTTGCTGTCGCTCCCGACCATATTGATCCCTAGGAGACAGACTCAAACGTGGTGAAACCGCCATCCATAAAGCCCAGTGTCTCTACAACAAGTCTTCGTGCCTCGACGCCAAACACTCCCATTCCAGCTCCCCGTCGTCAAGGTGAGGTGCAAGAGATTGGCCTCGCAAGCAGCAGGGTACTAGGCTCGACACTCGAAGAGAAATCGAAGGGAATATGATGGAAAGGGAGAGATTCGAAGCAATGGGACGTGATCGACAATAGACAAGGGAACAGCCGACCGCCGACGGCCAATGGCCTAAGGAACCATCGATGAATCAGAGAGACGGAAGGCCACATGAGAAGATGGGGTACGCCGTAGTGGTGGAATACAATGTCTCTGGACACTGGTTTCTTCTCACTCCGTTCTACCTCATTTCTCCTAAAGACCCAAACCTTCAGCGAAGTCCTTACACGACACACAGAACCCCCAAGTCTTCGCACAGTTGAATTCGATGCTCTCCTGGGAGCTCGATGGGCTTGTTGTGCCAGCGCCGTCGGAGAGGAGAACTGAGTCGTATCCTCTGGAGAAAGCCTGGAAGAGGATGCAATTTCAGCCGAGGCACGACACGAGAGATCATGTTCAATCACGAAAGGGAGACTTACATCCTGCAGGCTTCCACCGACGCATTGATCGGTATTGACGCCAGCAAAGAACAACGTCTTAATCCCCTCCCTGTCCAGGAACTCGGTGCAGTCGGTCCTTTCGCCCCACAGACCGGACATACGATTCTTGTGAATCCACACATCTGGGGGATTTGCCTTCTTCCCCTCTTCTTCGTACGACTGCTTGAGCTCTGGAGTCAGGTCGGCGTTCCAGGTGTCTCTCATCAAAAGTCTGCCGCCTTGCACGGGCGATCTTCCGTCGTCTATGGTGACAGGCCCAATCTCCTGGCCAAGACCCCTGTAGATCCTGGGATTCTTGCCCGAAGTCTCGATCTGCGGGTCCGGAAACTTGTGGCAACCCTCGTTCACGCCGTGAGAGTCGATCGCCGCCTGCTTCTTCTCGACCTTCTCATATGACTCCCACTCCGAGGCAAGGACGGTCTCAAAGCCAAATGCCCTCAGCGTTGCGGGTGGCATCTCGTCGATTTCCTGCTGTGTGAGGCCCCAATTCAGCCAGATGATTCGCACGCCGGCTTTGCGCGCAGCAGGAATTGCATACTTCAGTAGCTGCTGCTGCGCGAGAAGGCCCTTCGAGTCCCCTGGGCGGCCTAGCTGCGGGGAGAGGAAGAAGTTCTGCATGTCGATGATCACAAGGGCTGACTTGGGTGGGTGTATTGTAATGGGCAGGGTGTTGGTTTTGATGGTGTAATTTGGGGTGGGTGTGGCGGAGGTGGGTGTCGGTGGGTGAGTGAGGTCGAAGCCTGTCTTGGAATCATAGAGCCAGAAGGTGGAGGAGGGGTTCCCGATGATGGCTTTGCGGTGACTTGTGTCGGTGTTGTCCATGTCGATGGCGATGTCGATGTCGATAGGAGCCTGTCTATACGGAGTATCGGTCAAGGAGGAGTGAGGGTGGGATCAGTTCGTCTTGAACACACCGATGTCACCAAACTTTCGAACACTGAACTTGGGTATGACTCGCCTTGAGAACAGCTGGCACCGTAAGAAACAATCCCTCTTCCCATCTCATCATCACCGCTGGCCATCGCTAAGTAGTTGGTAGTCCTGCTCGTACTATTCTTGAACCCCGCAGCGATAAGCATCACATCCAAAAGTGGAAGGAGCGGCGGCGGGAGGCGAGCCACAGCGGCAACGGGAAGCCATGCTTGAGGTCGATGCTTGTGTCCTCGCGCTCTTCTCCGGGCTGGCGTCGGCCGCTCACTCAACACAGGCGCGTGTTTTCATACCCCGTCCTCGCAGGATTCAGCCTCTCCAGCCTTCCTCGTGATACGGATACTGCGTGGACAGACTGTCGCGGGGTGACTTTGGGTGACTGCAGTGTCACTACACGATGACGTCGAGCATGCATCAGTTGACACTATGCCTAACCGGGATAGTGCCTCAGGGTCTCGAAGCACGAGGGCAATTAAGTAATTAATTAATTACCCCACAAAGATCGAAAGGTAAATAGAAAACTGTCCACACGAGGCTGTCCAGCACAAGACACCGCTATTCTTCCTCTCCCGTCTGTATCTTTCGTTTGCATAGCGTTATCGATAAGCTCCCTCTGTCTCTGAACGCTCTGAGCTTCCCAGAAATCACTCACCATGGCCCTTCTCCAAGCTCGAGTCAAGAGCATCCTGTCAGGCGACACCATGATCATCACCAACCAAAAGGGCGCGGAACGAACGCTGTCGCTCGCCTACATCAGTGCACCACGGTTGAAGAGAGAAGGCGATGAGGTTGGTGACATGGACTGGCAGTCTACCAGCCCCTGCTGACCTCTGCAGCCTTTCGCTTTCCAATCCCGTGAGTTCATTCGAGAACTCGTCTTGGGCAAGGTCATTCAGTTCCAAATCCTATATGCCATTCCGACTACGAAGCGCGAATACGGTCGAGTCATACTGCCCGACGGCAAGGAACTGCCCAATCTGATCGTGCAGGAAGGTTGGGCCAAGGTGCGGGAAGACGCCGGAAAGAAAGAGGACGACGAGGAAGCTCTGGCATACCTCGACAAGCTCAGGTCGTTAGAAAGCGAGGCAAAGTCCCAAGGCAAAGGCCTGTGGGGCAAGGGCGGCCAGATCGAGAACTCGTCCGAAGTCTCCGATCCAAATGCTTTCGTGGAGCAACACAAAGGCAGGAAGATTGAGGCCGTCATCGAGAGGGTCTTGACAGGAGACCGCTTAATCGCTCGTCTCCTCCTCACGCCCACAAAGCACATTCAGACCATGCTTGTCCTGGCTGGAGTACGAACTCCCGCAACCAAGAGAACGACGCCAGAAGGCAAGGATGTTCCCGCCGAGCCTTATGGTACCGAGGCGCACTCCTTCGTGGACGAGAGACTACACCAGCGCAAAGTAAACGTCGAGCTGCTTGGAGTCACGCCGCAGAATCAGCTAATTGCAAATGTCCTACATCCAAAGGGGAACATTGCCATGTTCCTCCTCGAGGCTGGCCTTGCCCGGTCCAATGACCAACACGTAACCCTGCTCGGAAATCAAATGGCCCAGTTCAGAAATGCAGAGAACGCGGCAAAGAATGCAAGAAAGGGCGTATTCACTGGTGCTACAGCCTCGAAAGCTGCCGGCGTCCAGGAGGCCGACTTCACGGTAGTCCGTATCCAGAATGGCGAGACTGTCTTCATCCGGACTCGATCTGGGGAGGAACGAAAAGTCACACTCTCAAGTATACGTCAACCCAAACCGTCCGACCCGAAACAAGCTCCTTTCCAGGCAGAGGCCAAGGAGTTTCTCAGAAAGCGACTCATCGGCAAACATGTCAAAGTGTCCATCGACGGTAAGAAGCCAGCATCAGAGGGCTTCGAGGAGCGCGAAGTGGCTACAGTGTCTGTAGGTGGAAAAAACGTCGCTCTGGCATTGGTGGAAGCCGGCTATGCCTCGGTCATACGCCACCGTCGCGATGATGATGACCGCTCGCCAGATTACGATGCTTTGCTGCTGGCTGAGGAGTCGGCGCAGAAGGACACCAAGGGCATGTGGTCAGAAAAGCCTCCCGCCGCAAAGCAATATCAGGATTATTCGGAAAGTTTGCAGAAGGCCAAGATGGAAGCATCAGTCCTGCAAAGGCAGAAGAAAGTCCCGGCTATTGTGGACTTTGTTCGATCGGGCTCTAGATTCGTCGTCCTTGTCCCCCGTGAGAACGCCAAGTTGACTTTTGTCCTCTCCGGCATTCGCACGCCGAAGCCGGCGCGTCAATCTGGAGAAGCAGCTGAGCCCTTTGGGCAAGAGGCATATGACTTCGCCAACAGAAGATGTATGCAGCGTGACGTGGAAATCGATGTCGAGGACACAGACAAGGTTGGTGGGTTCATTGGAACGCTCTATGTCGGCCGAGAAAACTTCGCAAGAGCGCTTCTGGAAGAAGGTCTTGCAGAGGTCCATGCGCATTCGGCCGAGAAAAGCGGCCACTCCAACGAGCTCTTCGCTGCAGAGAAAAAGGCAAAGGAGGCGCGCAAGGGTATGTGGCACGACTGGGATCCTAGCAAGGACGACGAGGATGATGATCTTACGCCACCTACTAATGGCAACGCGGGCACGAATGGAGATGCAGCTGAGCCCGCATCAAGGAAGAAAGACTACCGGGACGTCGTTGTCACTCACGTCGATGAAACCGGCAAGCTCAAGATCCAACAAGTCGGAGCTGGCACAACCGCGCTGACCGAGTTGATGAACGCCTTCAAGTCGTTCCATCTGAACAAGGCCAACGATCAACCGATCGCCGGGCCTCCCAAAGTCGGCGATATCGTCGCCGCCAAGTTCACCGCTGACGACCAATGGTACCGTGCCCGCGTGCGACGAGTCGATCGCGACGGGAAAAAGGCTGATCTGACGTACCTCGACTACGGCAACTCGGAGACCGTCCCCTGGACACGCCTACGATCACTAACACAGCCGCAGTTTTCCACGCAGAAGCTGAAACCCCAGGCTACAGACGCTGTGCTTTCCTGCCTCCAGCTCCCGACGTCGGAGCAATACCTCCGCGACACGGTCGACTTCCTCATGGAACAGACAGACGGACGCGAACTCGTTGCCAGTGTCGACTTCGTGGCCCCAGAAGGGACATTGCACCTCACGCTCCTCGACCCCAAAGTGTCAAGTAAAATTGAGGAGAGTATCAATGCAGAAGTCCTCCGGGAGGGGTTGGCCATGGTGCCTACCAAGTTGAAACCGTGGGAGAGGCAAGCCGGGGACACATTGGCCAAGTTCAAAGAACTGCAGGAAGAGGCCAAGAAGGAGAGACGCGGCATGTGGGAGTACGGTGACCTGACAGAGGATTAGTTTTATAGGAGTGAAGGGGTGCAAGAACGAGAAGCGAACCTTTCAATATATGACGATGACGCAGCAAAGGGAAAAAGTCAAGCAATGCATCTTTGAGCTGAGCGGCTTTGCACATGCATATTGATATCCAAAAAAACAAGTCCAAATCCCATGCACCCGACCGGTTGCTTGGCTTCAATACTGGCAGGGTGTACATCGGAGACCGCCGATTCTATCTCCCGCGCGGGTGTGACCTACCATCTCTCGTCGCCTATGGAGGTAGGTACCTAGGTACGTATGAGAACAACAACTCTCGATACTTTCAAGACAGTCGTCCGAGCGTTGCAAGCGCCGCTTCAGTTGGTGAAACACTTCAGTAAACACGAGCACGACCGCGGACACACGATCGGTGGCTCAGACCATTTTTCCGTCTCGTCCATACACAAATTCCCATCCGTGTCCTACTGAGTGCTTGTTTCGTCTACAGCGGAAGAACCACGTCGCGGGGATTCTCCGCCCATCGCACACCCATGTATAATGCTTCATGCTCCAATACGTTGAAAATGACCTTGATCGGGTACGGGGCACCCCCTCGTTGTCGTGATCTGCTATTGATGTCCGCTGCGGCTTCTCGAGGTTGACCTTTCAAGCGATGTCTTCTCTTTCTTCTCCCACAGCAGGTGCAGGCACAGACATGATCCGAAGCGTCCCCCACTGCTGTCGTGATCTGGCTTTTGACGTGCATTGCCGCTTCGAGGTGACCTTTTCAGGCGATGTGTCCTCTTTCGTCTCCCGCCGCAGGTGCAGGCACAGGCATGAGTTCCTGATCGTGGGGGCGTGTGGCAGCGCTGTTTTCTTTCCGGTCCCTAAGTCCCGTCTTGGTCTCGGTATGTTCTTTGCTCAGCTCCGTCCTGGTCACAAGCCCGGCCGCGACGAGGCCGAGCGCCGCCATGCAAGTGCAGGTGATCCACAGGTTCCGCAGACTCGACGCGAAGGCCTGCTTGATCGCCAACTTTTGAGCTTGGTCGGCGACCTTGGAGATGAGATTGATATGCGTGGCGGCGTCGGGGCCGGACAGGTCGTCGACCAGGTCGGTCGAAAGTCCGTGAGCTTGTAAGCTTGATCTTTCGAGACGCATTCCGTTCTGGAAGATGACGCCGCCAATGACGATGGATAGGGAGACACCGATGTTGCGCATGACTCCGAGGGTAGCGGTCGCCGTGGCCATGTCGTCTTGAGAGACGAGAGCTTGGAGAGCAATGTAGGGGGGGTCGAACTGGGAGCATGTTAGAACGGGCGTCCAGGTCTACTGGTGTGCAGGGCCAAGTCGACTGCTGGGCGTGCATCGGCATCGGCATCGGCAACCGTGCTGACCATCGCTGCCATGGCTGTGGTCGTGGAGGGATTGAGAAAGTTAAGGACGGCTTACTAGTAGACCTACTCCCAGACCCGACAGAACTTCAGAGGCAGCGATTGAGCCGATGGAGGAGGTGGCGTCAAGATGGATGTAGAGCCCGTTACCGACTGTGAGCAGCACCACGCCCACCCAGATCAGTTCGATGTACCGTCCGAGCTGGTGGATATAGATCCCCCCGGCAACACCGGTGAATGCTTCCGTGAGGATCAGTGGGAGGAGGAGCAGCCCGGAGCGGAGTGGCGATGCTTCTTTCGCGGATTGGAAGTACAGTGGTAGGTAGTACTCTGCGGAATTAAGAACCTGGGGCCGCCCGGTCAGCGCTGGGGCCCGTCATTCGACCACACAACTGGATTGCACTTACGAAATGCTGGATGAAGCCAAGAGCAAGGCACGCGACATTCGACTTGTTTCGGAACACCCCCAGAGGCATTATCGGGTGGCGGGCCAGACGACCCTCGTTGAACACGAACAGGATGATCATGAAAGCACCGACGCCGATGAGGCAAATGACCTTGGGAGAGTCCCAGGGATAGGCTGCGCCCCCGAAATTGAGACCGAGCAGCAGCATCACCATCAGACCTACCATGCAGAGGCTGCCCGTCCAGTCGATGGCTTTGATGCCTGCGGCAAACTCGGTCTTGGGGTTATGCACATCCAGGAAAACGAGCAACAGGCAGAACGCCGGTCCACAGATCGGAAGATTGATCCAGAAGATCCACCTCCACGACAAAAGCTGGGTAAAGGCACCTCCCAGTACTGGGCCGACTCCGCCGGCAACGGCCCAGGTCGTGTGAAGAAGGCCCAGGAATAGTGCTCGACTCCTGTGAGAAATGTCAATCGCGTGGGAAGGAATATCATGCTGAAGGGAGGATGACCGCACCTCATGCTAAACAGATCCGACACAACAATGTTGATGAGCGTCATGAACCCGCCTGCAGATACGCCTTGGAGAGAACGACCCACGATGAGCATAGCCATGCTGTTTGACAGGGCACATACGATGGAGCTGGCGGAGTATAGGGCAACCCCCAGTAGGAGGATTGGCTTCCTCCCCCATATGTCTGACAGTTTCGCCCACACAGGACTGCAGGCGCTCGTGGCAATGACATATGAGGCTCCGATCCAGGAGTAGCCTGCTGCTGATTCGAGTTCGGAGCATATCGTAGGAATGGCGGTGGCTACCACGGTAGTGTTGAGAGCACCGATGAAGAGGGTGGACTGGAAGATGGAGGACAATTGCACGTCAGCCATTTGGATGAATTGTATGCCGCTGGAGAACCCGAGTGGATGTGTCTATCGAGCCCTATGCCTACTCACGAAAAGAGCAACCATGACGGTGAATGTCCTGAATGTGCTTCGTCGCTGAACGGGGCCGGGGTTGGACACGACAGCTGGAGACAATCCCGATCTGTCCCTGTCATGGCTCCTCCTCGAGGCGTCGTCGCCATGAGGCTGCCGTACCGCTGTCAGTGCAGCGGAATCGATCGTGTCATCCACGCGCGAAGGGACTTTCGATGCCATTGCAATAAAAGGGAGCGAGAGTACGAGGGTCACACCGGATGTGATTGAGAGTGGGACAAGTACTGGACGGGCAGAAGCAACATGCGCCTATATGATCACGACGACTACCCTATACGCGCCGAGACAGTATTGTTACGCCCTGTGACCTAATGTATCTATCCCATACTCCGTACATGGGCTCGATAATTAGCTTGGAAGCGAAGGTCGCGAGCGCTGCATGCTGTCGGGAGTTGGACGCCTTGAGACACGTATCACGTGATCTAACTCCGCGTGCATTGTTGATATGGCCCACCAGAGAACTACGGTGAGCTTTTCGGCACGAGCCGCAGGTTCCGATCTGGACTCGCAGTCTTGGGAGCAGGCGGGGGACAAGCGAGAATCGATGCAATCTGGGTGAATCTTGCTGAGTCTGCAGGCGTGTCAAGTGCCGCCCAATGACGATTTATCTATCATGTTGTCAAAGCAGAACATTTGTGCGCGTAGAGTCAGGCTTGCGCTCATCGTCGGATCTGCGAGAATGAACCTTGGTTGAGTCTGGCGCAGCAAGAGAGACACACCAGTCGTGTCGGCCTTGACAGTCCATTCAGTCGCGTCTGACTTGAACTTCAACTCCCCATCCCTTCAAGGCGCATTCCCGCCTTCCACGAACCTTCTCACACTCCACCTTCGATTCGCGCGGCGACGGTGTCAAGCCGCAACTCCCTCCTGTCTCCGTCTTGAGCCTCATGACGAATAAACAGCTCGCATTGCGGCCGCGGCCCTGTCTGTAGCATTTCGCTCCCGCAACTTTACGATCGACGAACGCAACCGCATTGCGCCTGGCACGTCTTCAGACATTTGGTGATCATTGGTGTTTGGGGCACAACAATCTTCGCCTATAGTCGGCCGGTCCAAGGCCTGGGAATTTGGCAGCGCCATGTCGAGCGATTCACAACGTCCGAAGAAGACGCTTGAACGGCTTGACGATGGCAGACCGCGCTTCCGTGGCTGTTCGAAAATCACCGAGTATGAGTACTTGGGCAAGCTGGGAGAAGGTACCTTTGGCGAGGTCTCAAAGGCACGGTCGAAGAGAACGGGGCAGTTGGTGGCGCTGAAGAAGATCTTGATGCACAACGAGAAGGATGGCTTTCCCATTACTGCGCTGCGCGAGATCAAACTGTTGAAACAACTGGACCACGTCAACATCCTGAAGCTCGAAGAAATGGCGGTCGAGCGGCCCAAGAATGCGAGCAAGAAGACGAGCATGTTCATGGTGACGCCTTATATGGACCACGATCTCTCCGGCCTTCTTGAGAATCCCGATGTTCACTTTACCGTGCCCCAAATAAAGTGTTATATGAAGCAACTACTCCAGGGTTGCGCATACCTGCATGAGAACAAGATCCTACATCGCGACATGAAAGCCGCCAACCTCCTCATCAATAACCGAGGAATCCTCCAGATCGCAGATTTTGGCCTGGCTCGGCCTTACGACGACGAACCGCCGCGACCCGGCCAAGGAGGGGGCGAGGCCACACGAGAATACACCACACTCGTCGTCACGAGATGGTATCGTCCACCCGAACTCTTGCTGCAGCTGCGCAAGTACACCACTGCCATCGACATGTGGGGAGTTGGCTGTGTCTTTGGGGAGATGTTCAAGCACAAGCCAATCTTGACCGGAGACAGTGATCTCAACCAAGCGAAGCTGATATTCGAACTGCTGGGATCGCCAAATGATGATACTATGCCGGGTTGGCGAGAACTCCCTGGTGCCGAGGCGATCGCCGAATTTGAACAAATGCCGCCAACGCTCAATCGCCAGTTTCGCGATCTCGAACCTTTAGCTCTATCGTTGCTAAGCGAACTGCTGAAGCTCGACTGGCGGAAACGTATCAATGCTATCGACGCACTGAAACACCCCTACTTTCACAGCATGCCCTATCCTGCGCGACCTGAAGAATTACCCTCGTTCGAAGATTCACACGAGCTGGATCGAAGAAAATTTAGAGATCAGAAATCCAAACGACCACCGGCACCTGCTGGTGGATCCGTGGGCATCGGTCCGCAAGGCGAATGGGGTATCGGCGGACGGCCTCCGCCGTACGATGGCAGAGGTCCCGTGAATCATGGGCCTCCTTCTCGCGTTCCTGGCGGCAGGCAACCCCATGCCAACGGTCACAACCATGGCTACAGTCGCCGACCTCCTGGCCCTCCTGGTCCAAATGGCGCCTATGGTGGCGGCCCTGATCATCGGGGACCAATCTCTCATCCTCCACCGCATCGAGACTTTCCAGCTTATGACCAACATCATCGTCCTCCGCCGTACGACGATTCTTACCCACGCCGACCTCCTGTGGAGCACTCCTTGCCACCTCGTCCGCTGCCCTCAGAGGTCGATTCTTACCGCTATGGTCCGCCGGATTTCCCCCCTTATCGCGACGACGGGCGTGGTCCGCCACCGCCAAGATCTCGAGTCCCGCCTGCTGGATCAGGCGGTGGTGCTCCAGCAGGCGGCCATCGGGATACTTATATTCCATCATATTCTAGCGCAGATCCGAACGTGGCTCCGCCGAAACAGAGATGGAGAGATGATCGGCCGCCGTACAGGGATGCTGGACCTGACTATGGCGAGCCACTCCGTTACGATGAGCCCGGTGTTCGAGAAGGCCATGATCGAGACAGAGACCGAGAAAGACGGCCGAGGAGTAGAAGTCCAATGCGGGACTGGGACCGGGACAGGCGAGACAGGGATCGGGATCCAGACAGAGACAGGCACTACAGAGATCGCGACAGGGACCGAGGGTTTGCTGGTGGCGGACAGGATCCGTATCGTCGCTAGGTACGACGAGGTTCGGGCCAAAGTTCCGCTTCAGGTCATGGTGATGCTGTTAAGGGTATTGCCAGAAAACACGACCTTGCCGAAAACTATCAGTACATGCAAGTTGGGCAAATACAGCAGTAGTATCAACAATGCCGAGCCTGGGACTGCGCAATTTGCAAGGTCAATGGGTTGGAAGGATGATTCTTGCATATGCATAGCGATCGGCGCAGACAGACTCTCGTTGCCAGAAAGACGGCAGCTTTCCTTCCAGCGTATGGCGCATGGCTATGAGGGTCTTGTGTACTTCACTTTCCTCGAGGCGCCGACATGAACGATGGACAATGGGTGATACGTATAAAGAATGTGCGGTCGAGCCGGCCAGAAAATTCAATCGCCCCTTTCGACTTTCAGGTCTCCTCAGCGACTTTGAACAGGAAGGATATGGCTAGCTCGTGCACCGATGTATCAATGCCTCAAACATTCGATGCCCTGTCGAGCTGCACATGTCGCCACTGTCTCAAGTGAGGCCAGCGAATAGATCATCTATTGCGTTCTTATGTTTCTTCCTGGCCTTCCCTTGCTTGAGCTTGCCAACCCTCCCGGCACCGTTGATAGTGGTCTCGCTCTTTCCCTGAGCGACCGTCTCGTCGGGGACTATCATTCTTCCAACAGCAGGATGGGGCCAAGCTGACGCCAGGCGATTTGTTGGGGGCCTCGGTTTTCCCTCTTCCGGTATCTTCGGTATAACTGCCGTCGGACCGGCCCTCCTCGAGTGACCCCCGTCAGACGGAGTGTTTGTTACCTTCTTGTTTTTGTCAGAGCGGATGTTTTGCCTTTCCTTTGCATCGTCCTCGCTCGTATTCCTTTCCACGATTTCTCCCACGTCATCACTATCATATTGTCTCTCGATTAGCTCACCGCTGTGTGGTCCCGTCACCCGCAGACTCGTCGCCTCACCAGTAGCGACCACTTCTCGGAGGTTCTGCGTTTCCGTGATCTTGGTACCTCCTAGGCGGTCGCCGCTTCTTCTGGCAGGTTCGGGGGCACCGGTCACGCTCACAATATCAGCGAGCACGCCTACCAGCACGACGCCCAGATTCGCGAACTGAGTGTCTCCCACCAAACTTGAGAAGCCAATATACGCCTTTGGCAACAGGACTTCACGTACCCACTGCACCCACGCTTCCTTCTCGGTGCGAAGTTGGCTTTCCCGTTCAAACCGCTTTCTGACATGATGGCCACGGCTGTGGCTGCCTAGCAATTGGCTCTCGGACTTGAGTCGTCGCTCCTCATCCTCCAATGCCATAAGGCGAGAGGTGCCCTTCCGGAGAGAGGACAGCGTTCTCCACCAGGGCTGCGTACGATGTTGGTTTTTGTTCCGGACCCAGAGCTTGTCAAGCAGATTTTTGGCGAATGACAGAGCGGTAACATTGCCCTCGGAGTTTGAGCTCAAAGCTGTAGCCGAATGCCTGATATTGGTCTTGGCATCTGCTCCAGTGCTGGATCGATCCGCCCGTTGACGCCTTACTTTCGGTGGGTGACGCCCGCGTGGCGGTTGAGGACGGGCGTGCTTTTTCCTCACTGCAGCCGTTGGTGTCTTCCCTCGTGATTGCAAACGTTCGTGAAAGCCACTCTGAAAGGGTCCGTGTGAGAGCTTCTGCCTCTTGGAATCCCTTGGATCTGTCTCCATCGCAGTAGCCGTAGAAGCGTCGACCAATGGACCTGACCCATTTCTCCGCTTTCCTACACCATCGGGCATTTCTTGTCCGCCAATGTCTCGGGCACCGAGAAGTGAAATTGCCCAACACTCTTAGGCTACGCGGGTGTTACGCGTGCCTACATAGATATCATCACATAGTCCTGAAGAGCTCATATCACACCAAGGGGTCAAAAGAAGTTCTTAGTGTCTCATGGCACCATAATGCTTGGGATCCTACACAGTGCTCAGTACGATTATTCACCAGGCACAAGCCAAAATGCAAAAGCTTCATTTGACGCTTGGCGGCGGAGCACCCATACCAGGCTAGTGCAAATCTGGAATAGCTCCTAGCTAGCTCTTTACACCGTGGCTCCATCAACTTCGACTCTCTCTCATCTCTCAAGTCAGTCATATCGGAACCGCCTCAATCAGAACAGCTTCACCGCTTACTGTACTCCGTACTCTCTGGCAATCTTCAGTATCGACCTACTCCTCACCTCGGCACTTCGGAGGGTGAAGGAGCTTTTCAACCAGCTAGACCCTTGGCAATGGTAAGGATGTCCACTGCGCCTGGTAATCAGCTCGTATTGATGTCAGCTCACGTTATTGACCGGCTCGGCGACCAGGAAGATGGTGAGCAGGTTCGAGTCGATTAAGCTATGGCATCGAGCAAGATTGCCGAGACTGAAACAGGTACCAAGCACCGCTCGGAAACATCGCCACTATACTCATTCAGGTGTAAGGATCCCCGGTTTCGTATATCCCTGGTCAGGGCGCCTTTGGCCGATGATATTTATATGACAAGGCCCCCGTCTTCCGGAGCGCGGCCCTGAAACCGCTGCAACTGAGCCTCTTCAGCGTCCACATCCACGAGATGATGGGGTCAACCGAGATTCTGCTGACAATCATCTACAACTCCATTTGTGCGGCCGCATCTCGTCGGCGGAGTCCGTGAACCTGCCGTTTGGTTTTGAAGGATTTCTTCTGCCTCGACAGTCGTCCGCATTCAAAGGTCACTGGATGCGAACGATACCACGAGACGAAGGATCTCGAGTCCGGCGAACCGAGAAGCATGCGAACTGTCAAATTAAACCGAAAGGGTAGCAAGCTGATCAATCCGGAAGGGTTTGGCCGAGGACTGTGACAGTACACACTCGAGAGAATGTTGCGCAGTAACTTGCTCACCGGAACAAGCGTGCGAGCAAAGCAGCCAACGCTGTTGTCTCGTATTCCCAAAATTAGGTATGTACACGAGCTTCAGCCTCCCATCAAAGCTCGCTAGGCTGCTGGTAGGCGAATATCTTGCTCTTGACCCCTATGGCCAGAGGCACCTTCACTCGTCGCTTTGCTTATATCTAGCTACATCTCATTTGTTCATCTTCGCCATCTTCGTCCCTTGCACACACCGTCCAATCACAATCCCTTCATCTCCCTACAAGAAAGAAAGTCAATACACATCGTCACCATGCGGAACACGAACAACCTTGGGCTTCTAGCCCTTGGTCTTGTATCCTCCATCGCAGGGGCTTCAGCAGGTCTGACGTGGCCTTCTGCCTACGACGATCTTGAAGATCTCGTCTACTTGACCAACGGATACAACGCACGAGGCTTTCCCGTGACTCTACAACCCTGCACGATAGCCAAGGAGCCCGGGCATTCGATAGCTGCAGCATTCGTCAGAACAGCTTTCCACGACATGGCGCCCTTCGACATCGCGACCGGCGTCGGAGGCACTGATGCCTCGATTGGATTTGAGCTGGATTCGAGCATCTATCCCACCAACACCGGCATTGCCTTCAACAATACTATGCATTTCTATTCGCAGTTCTTCAACAGTCGAACTTCCATGGCTGATCTTGTCAATGTTGGCTTGTACATGGCTGTGAGAGCTTGTGGTGGTCCGATTGTCCCTGTACGAGCCGGACGCGTGGACGCTACAGGACCTGGACCCGTTGGCGTCCCAGAACCCACAGACCCAATGCCAAAGATGATCGGCATATTCAGACGCATGGGCTTCAGTCCTGAAGAGATGGTCTTTGTGACTGCATGCGGCCACTCGCTCGGAGGCGTCCACTCTGCCGAACATCCCGACATTGTGCCTCCCAACAGCACCCCCCTGGATGTGCAGGACTTGGATAGCACCAACGCGACATTCGACAACGCAGTAGTTACCGAATTTCTCGACGGCACAACAAAGAACCCGCTGGTTGTGGGCGCGAACCCTGCTGCTTATTCCGACGGCCGTATTTTTGGCTTGAACAACAGGCAGACAGTGTCGGCCCTGGCTGACCCCTATGCCTTTGCAAACACTTGCTCTGGCATCTTCCAAAAGATGGTCAACACGGTCCCCCGGGCTGTAGAGCTCTCCGATATCATTACGCCTTACGAGCTCAAGCCCACCAACTTGCAGCTCAATGTGGCTGCCGACGGGCAGAACCTGGAGTTCAGTGGCGAGCTCCGCATCCACACCAACGACCTTCCATCGTCATCCATCGCCAGTGTCCAGCTCATTTACAGGGATCGCACCGGCGCATCCGACAGTGCGTACACTATCTCTGCTACCGTTGCCGGTGATGCCAACGGATTTGACGATACCTTCACTGTGAGTCTCCCACAATCACACAGCGTGACTCTAAAGCTGACAAATGCCCAATAGTTCTACAGCTTCGCCTCGACGATTCCGGCCTCTACTTCCATTTCGACCTTCACCGTCCTCGTCACGCTCACTAGCGGCGGTACACAGACCTTTGACAACTACGGCCAGGGCTACGCCATCTCCGACAAGATCTTCGCCCAAACCTCGTACTCTTCCTTGTCCGCCGTCGATGGCTCTGGCAGCCAACAACTCACCGTATTCGCTGCCGCGCGCACAGGCGAGGCCTATGAGCCAGTCAACCTATCCATGGAGCTGATCAACCCTATCACCTACAACGATTTGCCCACCGTCAGCGTGGTCCCTCAACCCATGACCAGCGTCTGTGCCGGCCAATACTATACCTTCTACTCGGCCACTTTCAGCGTCCCCGCCCCAGGTGTCAACTTTACGCACTACGACGTGTCCGCCACCTCGGATGGGGCCGTCGTCTCGGACAGCTTCAAAAGTCTCATGTCCTTGCCCGCCACAGCCGCGGCTGCCCCGTCGTGCGGTGGTGCTTGGGCCAAGCGAGCCGTCAACTTCAGTGCCTAAAGAAAAGGCGTATAGAAGGAATACGGAGGATGATTTTCGGATCCGGGGTTGTATGAGTAGGCTTGTATCTTTACTGATACCGTCTCATCTCATGTCATCTCGTCGCGTCGTATCGCGTCTCATTGCATTGCATTGCAGGTACACCGGCATTGGCCTACTTACCTATCCATCCTAGCTAGGAGCCACAGAACGACTTCAAAACATACTCTCCACCAAAATACAAAAATTGTATGGCATGGCATGGCATGGCATGGCAACGGCATCTCGGGCATTTCTGGCGCATACAAAAAACCTGCCGTGGGGATTTTACAGAACAGTACCCGGTGCTACTTACAGTGTATATATACGGTGCGTCAGCGTCAGCGTGATGGAATCAGCGGCCCCGGATATGGGTGTGATGGGATCCGATACGATAAGATCTTTCGGCGCCAGGGATATCGCCTCGGCCAACGTGTACGGGAGAAGATCCAAACGAGCAATCAAACAACTTGTTCCAAACACCTTTCGCCCTCACTTTTTATGTGAGTGGTGTTGCGTCGTTGAAAGTACAGCACTATGTGTTCTCCATTGTGCTGTTGCTGTTATTGTAGCTGCCGGGCGTGGTCAGGGCCCCTTTTGTCGATCGTTTGTCCGGGTATATTGTTTGCTCCTGTAGGGCAGGGCTTGCAGTTGGAAATTGCCGCTTCCCCTAATTGTACATATGTCAATGGGAGTTCTCTTCGGTCCTTTACGTTTCACTTGGATTTCATTGATCCGCGCTGTCAGGCTGTCCGGCCTGGCTACACATGCACGTACGTAGTTACTTGATCCCATCTTCCGCTCGACGCGAATGCGACGCAACGCGACGCAAACGCGATAGAGATGCTCACTTCGTTTTGCGCGTCCCGTCTCGAAAAGAGTGCTTCGGCATGTGTGTACCGTGTACTGTGCACGGGGTACTGTAGTCAGGTGTACTGGAATTAGTCAACGCCCTGCATCCTCTGCTCCTCTGCTCTGATCGTCACCGGGCGCGCCGAATGACGTACGCACTCATCGATCCCTTTGCTCCTCAAGTCAGCTGGCCCCCGGCGCACCTTGTTTCATCACCAGCGGGACACCGACGCTCACGGAATCCTTGAATCTGGCTATGCCGATGAACTATTCTTTCGAGGGGGAGGGCTGGCCGAGAGGACGTGCAGAGCTGTTCAACGGGATGACATTGGCTTGCCTGCTCCCATCGTGACCCCCCAAGACGGGGCTGGGACATGTTGATGATGCGAGAGGGGGCTAAGGGTGGTTCAAGGAGGATGATGACAAGTGTTGGGCGGTAAGTCCTGGGGTCGTTGGCTACTGGCCTTGAAATGGGGTGATCCTGAATTCCTCAGGAAGTTGAGCGGCTTGCACGCACACGTTTGGGGCCGGGTTTGGTTGGAACTGTCGTTCGGGGGGGAAAGGGGGCCGCCGATGTCAGATTGGCTGCCAGGAAGGCAGGCGTGCAGCCGTGCAGCCCGTGGTAAGATGTAGGATTCAACAGCAGGTGTCATACTGCGATGGGGCGTCCCGTATCTAGAGTGACTAGGTTAGCAATTGAAGGCGCGATGTTGCCGACCGTGTCCGATACGATCAGCTTGGTTGCAGGAGTCGTTGTCCTTGAGGCTGAATGGATCTAGCATGCTAAAAGAGCCATTTTGGATCTCTAGGAGAAAAGCCTGCGCAGTCGAGGTTGTAGCGAGGGACCGACCATGTCGACGCCACCGTGCGATCTGCCCATATTACAGATTCGTCGTCGACAACGTCACATTCCATCCGAGAGTCTACTGGCCTGATAGTCTCGCACCGCCAGATGTCAGGTAGACTGCTCGCTTTCAGGCTGGGGAGGCGGCAAGGTTACTGTATCTTCGTCGAAGCCCGCGTCAAGAAGGTTCCTCTATGGCTTCGAGTCGCTGGTTTCCCGAATGGTGCTTGGCAGGACGAGTTGCAAGGCAATATCATGTTTCACCTGCTTGCAGGCAGCCCCAAGGCGTCTTCGCGTCTAACCTGCAACACGGAGGAGGAGCCATAGGAATCAGGATCTCGGTGGTGGCCCATCTCATAGCCTATTCGCAACGACATGCCCGGGGGTGCTCCAGCTTCACGCAGGGGATAGAGGGTCTGGTCCAGGGGCATTTCGGAGTGAGCAAACAGAGCGAACGCTTGAAAGGCCCTTTGTGGGTGATGATAGTATCCCCTGACAGCGAGACATTGCCTAGCCCGTACGCAGCTTCCAGACAGCGGTCATTGGCAGTGCGCCTCGTGATGTCTGTCCACTTGCGGCCTTGATTAGATTTGCTACACAGCAGACTGAGAACAAGGTGGAGTCTCAAGCGGGTTGGAAACGGCCGTGTTACCTAGACAATCCGGTATTGGCGTTGGAAATGGCGCGTATGACAAGCCAGTAGGGTGAATATCTCTCCTTGGAAGTAGATCGACATCCCGCTTCGAGGGCAAATATTCTGAGAGGATCTCTTCTAGGAAGTAGTTGTCAAAGGAGCCAAAACTTATTCTCGCTGAATGCCGAGGGTGGGCACGATGGTTGTTTGGATGCCTTCGAGAAGCTCATGGCATTGCCTAGAGCTGCTTCCAGCTCTTGAAGATTGTCCAGGATGGCGGACCGATGCGTCGAGCATCTCTTTTGGTGGATCATGGACAGAATTTGAAGGCACAGCTGACGACGTTGCAGGTTTTGCTGGCGCGTCGGTGCTGTAGGTCTGCGACAACTTTTGACAGGCCGCCCAAGAGCGACAGCCGAGTGATATAGCGACGAAGATGCTGCTGAGCCTTCAGCCGAGTTGCCTCGATCTTGCTGAGGTTCAGCAAGGTCTTCGGCCGCAGCGATTGATACAATGCAGGTGACAGGGTCTGCGCAACAGCGCGTCTTGGGTTGGGGGGGGGGGGGGGGACGGTTACTTACTGTTGTCCTTCGGTTACCTCCCAGCACGTGGTTGTACGTAACAAGATCGAGCCGCTCACGAACCACGACATGCGAGAATTCTCGAAACTGAGCACACGCTGGGCTATCAGACGTTACTCTTCTCCTGTACTCTATGAGCGGATCCGGTCAGAGGCGCAATGCGAAGCCGCAGTCAGTGACATGTCTCGGTGCTGCGACGAGCCACGCTGAAGAACTCCGAGGTTAGCCTGAGCTCACAGCTTGCACAGCACCACAGCCACAGAGGAAGAAGAAGGGTATGAAATGGGTTGATTGATGAATAGCTACGATCACTAGGAGTGATCGAGGCACAGTGCTGACGGTACATGACTGTTTCTGATCAAGTTCATTCTTCGACCATGTCCTCCTGCACATTGCTTTTAATGACAACCCAGCGCAAATTCACTGACTGAAACAAAGGAAAACTTGCAGGATGATAAGGGAGTATTAGGGCAGATGTGGAATAACACATAAGGGGGGTAATAATGACGGGGCAGGGGGGTTTTCAGCACATCCATCCATCGGTGCACAACTCTGCAACAAGATGCCAAGTGCACAACCATTGCACTCCATGAGCCCAGCAGGAGAACCATCCAGGCCGAGAGAAAGAATCATTTCCAGGACAGAGACATCACCAACGACCATGATACCAACGGTGACCTGAAACTTCGCAAGATTTCCAGCGCCACAATCATGCCGAGTTAGAAGTGTTGAAGATGCATATGACTGACAGGTTCCAATGCCGGATCCTGCAGCCGGTAACGTGGTGCAACACCCAACTCATGCTCAGCACCTGGTGTGCCGCGATCGAACTGCGAACGTCGACGACGTTGCTCTTCTCGGTATGCCTGGCCTTGTCTAGGGGCGAAAAGACCTGTAGAGAGAAGAAGACGTATCAGTACATCGGTCAGGACAATGTGATAAGAATAAGTATCTCTCACGTAGAGGCAGAAGGACGACCGGCAAAGGGATCGTAGGGGCTTCTGATGTCAACCAAGAAGGGAATTCGGCGGTGGGTTGGAGAGGGGTCTTGGGGGAAATCCTTGGGCTCCATGGGCTCTGGCTTGACAATGCGAGCAGGTGGGAGATAGACACCGCGGCGGCGATTCTCTTCATGATTGAATCTGCCAGCAGGGCGCACGACGGGATTGCGTTGTTGAAAGGCAGGGGCAGGTGCGAAGGGCTGGGGGTACCAGTATTGATGGTCTGCATGGAGTGGGACGAACAGACCGACGTGTTCTGCGTTTTCAACCGAACGACGCATCTTGGATTGGTTGTCTGGGCCGGGAAATGGCTCTTCTTGACCAGCGTTGGGAAAGTTGCCAGCGAGGAAGAGCTGCAGAGTTGTGAGCCAAGAACGGTGATATGAGGTTGTGGACTTACCTTGGGGCGAAACGCAGGATGCTCAAGCATGACGGACGAATTGCGGAACTTCTGAACGAGGCAGTCTTTGCCCTGGATCGCTGAGGGATAGTTAGCAAGATGTGACAGCAAGATGCGAGGGGAGGACTCACTAGCATAGGAGACTTCGGCAACTTTGTCTGAATTGAAGCAGTTCCAGCGCTTACCAGCACGGGCAAGAACAAAGGGAATGATGGACTGAGCGTCGATGAAGTTGATGAAGGCGTAACCAACATTGCAGTTGTTGGCGAAGTCGATCCGCAGGTACATGAAGTCGTAGCGACCACGGCTAGTAACGTCGAGAAGGGTCTTCAGCATTGGCTGATCGACGCGGTTCGGGATGTTGCGAAGCATGATCTGTAGGGTGTATCAGCAGCGAACATTGGAAAGGGCAAGGGTGCATATACACACAGTGGTGCGAACATCAAGTCCAGCTTGGATGCGAGCAACGTCGACGGCATTGTGGTTCATGTTCTGAGCGACGCGACGACCACGATGCAGACCATCACGATGGATGGTATGAGCAAGGCGGGCATAGTCATCATCATCGACTGGGACTCTTGAGCGACCAGTGATGGAAAGCTGCTGAAAAGCCTCGATTTCTTCTTCATCTTCAATGGGAACACGGACATCTGGCTGGTATGGCCTAGCGTCGAGGACACAACCCTGAACAAAGTTAGCAATGACATAAGTTTGGGAAGCTTGAGGCATACCTGGATGACAGTGCCACGAACGACATCCTTGGCGACGTCAACATGATCGGCATTGTAGAACTCGACACGGATCTCTCGGACATGGGTCTGGAGAGAGGTGCAAGTGTGGAAAGCCTTGACATCGCCACATTGGTCAAGAAGACGCTTGATCTCCGCAATGACTGGATGTGCCTCGACTGGTGGTGCAGCAGCATTCGGATTGTAGTAGATGCTGAGTATCATCTGTCCTTCGTAGTCACTGGCGAGGTTTGGATCTGCACCAATCTCTCTTGCGTAGGTCTTGCCGCTGCATGGCATGAGCGTGGCAAAGGGGAGGATCGACTTGGCAACAGCGACAGCTTGCTTGGCCTCGCGGATGTCAGAGCAAGAGACAACGAAGAGGCCACTTGGGAGTTTGGTGGCATTGACACCTCGGAGACTTGGAAATCTCTCCACCTAGACAGTTAGCAGCTGAAGCCGGCGGCGATAGGTTCACACATACCGTGAAGTGTTGGCCAATGACTCGCGAGGGGAACCCGAATGGAACGCCGCTGACGAGGAAGGAGCGAGAGAAACCTTCGTCAGTGCTGAAGACACCATCGGTGATGGTGATGTCATGTACATATATACGAGCGACATTGTTGAAGGGGACTTGGTTGATATCGATGAGGCCAAATTGATGAATTCGAACGTGCTTCTCGACCTCGGCACGACGAGCTGCAGGAACGCCATTCGGGAAGAACTCGAACTTGTGGGGAGTACGAATCTGTGGATGTATTAGGATACCGTGAATAAGGCAAGATGGTGTTGCGGATGTACATACAGGTTCATCGTACTCTTCAGCAAGAATGGTGTTGCCTGCCTGGCCCTCTGCATCCTTCTTCATGAAGGTAGTTGGCAAAGTAGGAGTGAAGACTTCGGCGGTTGGGGAGAGCTGAGTTCCTTTGGTGGATGGGGCAGACAAGAAGATGTCTTCTTCAGACTCATCGCTGAGGCTGGTCAAGTCAGTAAGGCGTCCACATTGAGGGCTGGATCGACACATGTCTGGCTGATGACAGGCGCGGGTAAGCCGGTGAACTTACTTTGCAAGCGTGAGTTGACCAGGGCGAAGTGTACGGACAGGGCGGCGAGCCGAGTCAACAACACGTCCTTTGGTGCCGGAACCAGCCTCAGGAGTGAAGGCAGTGATGTTGGTCGACGGTGTGCCATGGTTGGTGGTCTCATCGACAGAGTGAGGAGAAGAACTCATGGCTGCACCATGAGGAGACATGTTGGGATCTGTCAAAAGTTGGATGTTAGTTTTCTGCGTCGAATGAGACTTGTGTAGAATGAAGTGATCGTTTGGGGGAGTGGAAGTGAACGTTGGCTGCTCACTAGTCTGTGTGCTTCGGGCATATGGGGTGCTGCGGGAGCGACAGATTTGCTATCACTGTACTAGAGCTGCGGATGGCAATGCTGGCTGAGGTTGCAGCGGCTGGAGAGTGTAGAGGCAGGGGATGGATTGTGTGGTGTTCGTTGTTCTCCTCAACTCACTTGCCTTTGGCAGACAAGTGAGCAGACGACATGAGAAAAACTTACCAGTTGAGGTGTTCGGATGTGCTGAAATGAATGAGGGATTGGTTTGCAGTAAAGAATGTATTGAGTGAGGACGAATAACAAGACGATTGGAGGGTGTGAACAACGTTGAAGGAATGTGTTGCTCGAAAGCAGTGTGAGCGTTGTTGAGAGAGGGAGAGAGAAGGGTTGGTGGGGGAAAAGAGGGAGAATTTGTAAGAAAGAGCGATGTTGTGTGCTCTTGCCAAAACGTCCACAACGGGTATGGGCCGCTTCAAACGACGCGTCCGACGATGAACTTGACGACCAAATAGTCGGCTGGGCGATGTTGGTCGGGGTAAGTGAGCGTCGATGAGCCCATAAACGAGGGGAACGTCGACGATGTCAGCATTCAAGCAGCCGCACCCACCGCATGTAGTGTGTACTCCCACATACAAAGTTGTATGCGGAGCAACACATCACAAGCCCGAAGAGCGGCAGTGACCGTACAATGGGCTTCGCATACAAGCTCAGAGTGGCAGCGTCCAGCACCCACATTGCAACTCACGTGCAGCGACATCATGGCGCGTCAAGGCGGCTGGGCGACTTCACTCGACTTCCTTCCCAGCCGCAGGCGACATCATCGTTCCGCTGGATGCAGAAGCGTCCGGAAGATTGTCCCACACGAGGGCAACGGGTGTCGTTGGCTGCATGTTAGGAACACTTCAGGATTCTCCATCTCTGGGCTGAAGAGAGAACACAGGCTCCCCAGCTCACATCCAGCCGTCAGTTCTCCCTTATTCTTCTTTTCATTTTGCTCAGCTATTTGCGACACTGGCCAACACAGTGTTCCTGCTGACGTTCTTGTGCAAAGGCAAGTCTGATATCTTTTCTCAGATCGGCTGCTTTCTGTTCACCTCACCTGCACTGACTGCAGACCTCTGGTCCTGCAACTGGCTGCTGCGCACCGCAAATGCTCTCAACCCATGTGCATTAGCAGCACGCAAGGGTCAAGAAGCTGTCGACGTTCTGGATTATTGAAAGAGATGAGCATTGTCATGGGGGAAGAGAACCTTGAAGGAGTGGGGTTGTGAGGTTGTGAGCTGCTTGTGAGAGATCGACAGCAGTTGCCGCTAGCGCCAGGGCCAAGAGGGCGCTAGCCATATGGCGTTAGCTGGATATGTGAACTTCGCCCGGATGGCATGGCTCTCACTCTCTCGTTGTTACGTTCAACTGTCACAAAAACACCCATTCCGCACCAGGGTGATAACAAACTCAGCACAACAGTACCTTATGCAAGAATGAATGTGATATTCTCTGTCTGAACCGCTCCCCTTCATTGGCATACGGGAAAGAGGCGAGCGACACCCTGATTCCGAGTCACATCAAGATCGTCTGGACGGAGGCAGACTTCTTCACTGTCTCCAGCTCTTCTCGAGGGTCAAATACACCCCGGCCATGCCTTCAATAGCGCCCTATAGGAATGACATGAATAATGTTCTCCAGCAGGTATATAGGACTTCAGTGTGTCCCAATCGTGAGCTGACTACGCTTCAAGATCGTCACTTCGTCGTCCGAAACAGATACCCTGGACCAGCTGATTCCTTACATCAAAGACTACAGCTTTGGCAATAAGACGGCCCATCTGCTCGGCCAGCTATCCGACCTCGCTGGGGAGCGCGAAACTGAAATAGAACGGCAATGCAACACCAACCATCAGGAGTTCGTCAAATCCGTCAATCAACTGCTTCGGATCCGCGAGGGGACAGTGACACTCACGAACGAGATCTTAGAATTGAATCAGTCAATCCAGGCTAGCACCGAACGACTCGTCGACCAGAAGAAAGCGTTAGTCGAGTCACGTGGCGTGCGACAGAATATCGAAGATGCCCGACATGCGCTGCAGGACTGTCTGGAAGTCCTCCGTCTCGCGAACCAAGTTCAAGAGCTCCGGGACCAGAAGAAACACTATGCAGCCCTGCGAGCGCTGGATGAACTTCAAAGTGTACATTTACAAAGCGTGACCCAGTATCAGTTGAGCGAACTGATCCAGAAGTCGGTCCCGGCAACCCAGAAGTCGATTGCTGAAGCAGTCATGGCCGACCTGAACACCTGGCTCTTCCGGGTTCGCGAGATGTCTCAGTATCTGGGAGAGCTTTCTTTCTATCACACGGATCTACGGAAGCAACGACTGAAGGAGAGATCCGAAAAGAACCCGTACCTGGCCAATTTCAAGCTGAACTCGGCAATTGAGCTCGTGGCCGACGAGCACGAAGAATTCGACCTTCTGAAGAGCGAGGATCTCGAGGTTGACTTTACACCTCTATTTGAAGCGCTACACATCTATCGCTCGCTCGGGCAGATGGAGAAATTCAAGACGGACTATGCGGCGAGCCGTCGGGCACAACGCGATCTGCTCCTCCAAAACTCCATCTCCCTTGTCGACGAAGAGATGGGAGACCTGCACACCCTGCTCGAGGACATCGCCGGTTTTGCCATCATGGAACGCGCCACAATGAAGAAGGTGCCTGATCTCCGTTCCACCACGGACGTGGAAGAACTGTGGGATTCGCTCTGCCAGACCGCCATCTCCCTCATGTCCAGAGCGCTGTCAGCGGTCGACAACGCAGAGCACCTCTTGAAGATCAAGAACCTGATCTCTCTCTTCATCCAAACGATGAACAAGTTCAACTTCAACACCGCGGCCATGTCCAACTTTGTCCTCGTGCTGTTCGACAAGTATGCCGAGCTCCTCAAGCAACGCTTCAGCGAGGACTTTATCGAAATCGTCAGTACCGACGACTACATGCCCATGCCGATCCAGAACGCCGAAGAGTTCGAAAAAGTGGTCAACGTCTCGTGGTACATGCCAGATCGACCGGCCCATGAAATGACCTTCCCGACAGTCTTCCCCTTCTCGCAAATGTATCCCCTCTGCTGCATCGACATCCGCAACTTCCTCAACCAATTCTACTTCTTCTCCGCGCAGGATGACAACGCGCCCTCCCCACTGTCCCAAAAGATCGACTCCCAACTGCTCACGTCGCTGGACGACCTCCTCACCACGAAAGTCTGCGCCAGCCTGGTCTCGAAACTCTCCTCCCAATACCTGGGCCAGATTGTCCAAATCCTCATCAACCTCTCCCACTTCACCACGGCATGCCACGAACTCGAGTCCCTGCTGGCCAGCGCACGGTCCTCGTCCTCGTCCTCCTCGCAGACCAGCACCCTCAACGGCACCTCCTCCGCCGCCACCACCACGGGGCCGTCCATCTCGCTCAAAGCCACCGCCCAGTTCAGCACGCACCAGAAAACGGCCGAAAACCGCATCTTCGAACTGGTCAACAGCAAGGTCTCGGACCTCATCGAGACGGCCGAATACGACTGGCTCTCGCGCGACCCTCCGACCGAACCGTCCAACTACATCCTCACGCTGACGCGGTACCTCGCCAACATCATCAACTCGGTGCTCCTGTCGCTCCCTTCGTCGCTCAAGGACCTCATGCTCTTCAACGCCATCTCCCACACGGCCAGCAGCATCCTGTCGCTCCCCTTGTCCGACAGCGTCGACAGGATCACCACCGCCACGATCGCCCAGATGGACATGGACATCTCGCACTTCCGCTCCTACGTGGAGACGCTGCCCAACAACGTCGTCCTGCTCGAAAGCCTCGACGAACTCGTCCAGACCATCGCGCTGATGCGCACCGACCAGCCCGACGAGTTCTACGACATCAGCCTGCGCAACAAAAAGTACCGCAACGTCGACCCGCTCAAGGGCCCCATGCTGCTCGAGAAGGTCGTCCACGTGGACATGGGCCGGTCGCCCACCAGTGCCGGCGGCGGCGGCGGCGGCAGTGGACCGAACGGGAGTGGCCAGGGCGCGCAGGGTGCCGGGCTGGGATACAGTGGGAGCACCGGGTCGAGAACAGGAGGCACAACAACGTTTGGGGCCCTGCGCGATAGATACATGCACGGTGGGCGGTAAAAAGGCGCTTTTCCACCACGGGACGACGGGGACGGTACCGTGCTGCTGGTGTTGTCTCTTTTTGGGCTTGATGTTTGGAAGTTTTAAAAAGGTCGCGAGGGCGTCATCGCGCGCAGTCACTTCTAAAATGGACCTGTACTTCATCCCTTCCCATTATTATGTACTGATTTCTTTCATGCGACCAATCATCGATAACTAAAATGCTAGAGCTCGGCTCTGTCATAGCAGCGCTGTTGCTGAAGGTGTGAGTGGGTGGATGGCTGCCGAGTTCGGCCGGTATCAACGCACCAACCCACGCGACCCGCTACGTAAAGTTTCGGATGAGATAGAAAGGGGCCGTGCGAACTTCCGGGAAACGATTTTCTAATAGTATCCTGCTGCTTTGGGGCTGCGTGCCCAACGACCTTGGCCGGGGTGAGCTGGGATCATGCACCGCCACGGTGGTGTTTGGGGCAAGACTGGGACCTCATTCAAACATTGCTCGCATCGACCGACTCCTCGAGGACGGTGACAAAACTGAAGTGCGGGTGCAGTGGAGCATAAAACCAAAAGGTTGGGGGGGTATCATAGAACCAAAGCTATCTCATTTTGTTGCGATTGCGTTCGTAACGATGTTGTGCTGACGACTCCGCCTCCGAACATTGACATGATGACTGACATGACGATGCTTCTTGCTTTGCTGTTTCGGATATCTGTCTTTGTTCTGGGATCACAATATACAAATCAATTCCATCGGGAAGTGGCACTAC